TCCACATGTTCACTCCCATGGAAGTTTGGCTGGATGGACACCATATTAGACCACAGGTTGGAAATCTATGGAGTCCCAGCCAGCATTTCCAATTGTCTGGGCTGATGAGAGTTGCAATCCATAAGCATTTGGAGGTCTACAGGTTTCCTACCCTGCCTTAAACACACAATATCCCCCTCTCTTTTTTTCTTGCTGGTTTTTTGGTAGCAGTGCCAAACATTTTTCCAATAGATACCTCACAAGGTCCACAATATATTTGAGCCAATAAGTGTAATAACTTCTTTCTCACGGAATTAACTCCCATTCTCAATGTTTTGGATGTCTGCCTGTATCCCAGATAATTTTATTGGACCACTAGTTTCAATTTCACCCATGACTTTTCTAAAACATATAAAGTCAGCACTTGCTATAACCATTAACGTACTAGTAAAATGAGGACAAAGGGGGCAGTTCTGGGCATTATTTTCCTAGACATGGATCATGGCATTTTAAAAGAAATCTCTAGTTTCATTACATTTTCAGTTTTCTTCCCTCTTTTCTAACCAAATTCAGCTCTGCATAGAGATAAGTGAAATGGTTGCAATATTTTCTATGTGCCACCTGTCCTTGGACAAACTACTTAAATTTTCCCAATAACTTACTTGGGTCCAACAATATTATTTTGTTCCAAGTCTTGGGACAACAAGACTTTCTTCTGATGGTGATTCTAAGAGAGACACTGCTGGAGACAGGAACATACTGGGCTCATGAGTTAAATACCACATTTGAGAGGCATACTAAATGAATTTTGCTTTCATTGTTTGGATTTAAACATTATCTTGTGGATAACTAGCAACTCTCCTATTTTTCCCCTCCATTTGCATGGGTTTCCTCCATAAACTATTTCTACTTGCTTCCTATACTGAGTCTGCCCTGCAACTTCCACCTCTTCTGTTGCTGCCCTGTTCTCAGCGGCTAGGAAACAGAAATAAAACTGATTTTTTAAAAAGACCTAAGCAGTTATCCTAGTCTGAAAGATCAGATTTTCAAAAATGTTTCATTTGCTCTGTATAATATCAGCTACTTTATACAAAGGACTACTTTTTCACAAGTTTCAAGGTGGCTAACAATCAGATAATGCAAAACGTTTAATTCTTTTCATAAGCACAGGTTGCCTAAAACTTTCAGAAGAATGCATCCTTATGTGCAGTCTGTGATTGTAACAAAAGGTTCCGATTATCAGGCTGCATCCCTAGACACATCGACTGGAAAGAAAATCCTAATGAACTCCACTGAAATTTATTCTAAGTAAACTTGCCTATTATTTCATTTCACGTCAAGTGCATAGGGATTATTATTGTAGTTATATTTTAAAACTGCCCTTCAACCAGAGGTTCCTGTATACAAATATATTCCAATAAAATACATGTGAAAAATACAAGATATCCAGGATTTGAATTATTGTCTCACTTGAATCCTTATCTCAGCAGAGTAGCTGATGCCATACAGGGCAAATCAAGCATTTTTGAAGATGTGTGATTACATGATTCATACTATTTGGGATGTATGAAGGGACTGCAGACTTTGAATTAGCCTCTTCTAGGAGTTATGCAGGTTACATCCACATTTGCTTGATTGAGAAATCCTCCCTTAAAGGGTCCCTTGAGGGTCGTCCCTTAAAGAGGGCACGTGTTGCGGTGAGACCTGGCAACCAAACCCTGTGTTGTGGGTGGGTTTGAATGAATATCCACAACACCCAATTGGTAGGTCCCTTGATGCTGGGTTTAATCAGGCCAATGGGATGCAAGCTAAATGGATCAAGGGACCTATATATACCCATGCACGTGACCCAGAGCTTCCTCTTTCGGTGCGTGCATCGGAACACTCACCCACCTCTGCCTATATTTAGGGCTGTGCGCTTGACCTTGCTATGCTGTCATGTTTCATCTGTTGTTGGGACAGGGGCAGGCAGGAATTTTCACCACTTGGCTGATTGGCTGGTGCCATTTGGGTTTCGCCTGCCACATAGCAAATCGTCACAACTTGTAAGGTTGCAGATAGGCTCTGGTTCAGGTGATAGGGATGGGAGAACGCTCTCGCCATCCCTATGTGAAGGCTTTTCCATTAAAGGAATCCAGGGACTCGAGGGTTTGGTCAACCCCTGTGAGGGGGTTGTGCCCGTGCCTGAGTCCAGGGGGGCATTTGGGGGCAGAGATTACCTGTTCCCGGCTTTCCACTTATCCAGGTGTTCAGCCTTGGCAGACCTATGCTGGTGCCCTGGGTCAGCACTACCTGCAGCGGTGCAGGGAGCAAGTCGAACCAGAGCCTATGCAACCACTCACTTGCTGTAATCAATAAAGCTGTGGCCTAAATTCTGTCAAAAACCAAACCAAAATTTGAGTCTTGTCTGAATTTATTTAAGGGGGAGGTTTAAAGGTCTGAACATGCAAACAGAATGGCTGATCCTCGATTTTAAAAGATTAACATTCCAGAAGGGACTGGAACTGCAAATCTCAGCAGCCCTGGTGGGAAAGTAATGCTATACACACCACAATCGGTCATGGAAGGCTCTGCTCAGACTGCACATAATTATTGTAAATTGAAAAGGGCAACTCATTTTTTGTGACTGCTCCATTCCATCATGACATCTCTGACCAGAATCGATACACCTTTACTGCAAGGTTTTAAAAATAATAGATGCCCAAGGCTCTATTTCTACTGTGATGTACTTGGCTTGAGTGAGAAACCTACTCTGAAGTCCTGAGGCAATTTAAAAGTGATACTAACCCAATTTACTGTGGCATAAGATTTCATAAACTTCCTCAAGTCTATGAGATGCATGAAATATTATTCTCAATTGGCCACACACACACACACAGTGGGGAGGAAATAAACTGTTGCAGATAGTGGGCCCCAAAAGCCATGAAATGCAAAAGGTACAATCTGTTGACATTTGGACATAGCTCAATGTCCATACACAATAGCAGTAATTCTGTTACTGCCAGTCTTCCCAGCATAATATAACTAGGAAACTTGTGTTCTTACCCATTACTGCCCTTTAATTAGAAGAATCATAATGTTACAGGGCAAGGTAGAAACTGAAGGTTACATATTCCAACACCATAGGCTTTGTCTCATGGAGAGCCATTCAAATTTGTAGGATCCCTGTCCTCCTTTGGATTAGGTCATCTGAGAGGTGGGGAGGTTAAAAGGAGGGGCATTTTTTAAAAAATAGAATTGCTCCTTATTTTGCAGATTAAAGAAGGGTGCTGGGTCAGAAAAAGCTGGAAGACAATTTATCTACATTGTAGTGTGTCAGACACAGAAAATGGATGAAACAAAAATAACCCATACCTGTGGCACGTTCAGGGCACATATTTGCTTTGATAATATGTATATAGCCAAATTGTTCAAGCAAGCAAACTTATCACATGATACAAGGGCAGCTTAAACAGTAGTGGTTTTTGCTCTTCACCTACAGAGAAAATTCCTCACTTTCTTCCTACTACAAAAATGGATTCCTTTAATATTTGGTACATAGAAAGCGGGTTTGTACCAAGTCTGGGTTCAGCTGAGTCAATATTGTCTGCATTGGCTTTCAGCATCTTTCCAGGTTTTCGGATAGTGATTTTCCCAGCCCCACCTGGAGATCTTTAGCAGGCAAAAACCATGACTCTGCCACTAAGTTGTGTTATTTACAAGTGAAATAACAGAGTTCTGACCCTATGTATTGTTGTAATGAGACAACAGCAGCTTAGAAATAAGAATCTGAAACAAAGCTTTCAGATTTTAAGGAACAGGTTTTATTTTGCCACTATCACATCACTGCTTTGTCCTTTTTGTGCAGTCTGAAGATGTACTGAAAGTTCAACTATATTTGCTAGTTAAATCATTCTAAAATGCTGCAAGTTTGGCTTAAACAAGATTGTCACATGGAGAAAAATGCCACTCAGCTAGAAACGAAATTGATGATGATGAGACAGGAAATGTATTTCCTTGCTATTTGCCCACTATTGAAAAGTGAGTAATTTTAAGAATGACATAATGAAGATAGAAAGGAAAAGGAACACATGTTCACTTGACAGTTCGGGGAGGCATGCAGATGATTTGGTAGACATTTCTGTCTGAAAGAGTTTGATCATGTTATCAGTGCTAACAGGTCTGTTACAAGAGTGCCAGGCTGCCTTGAAGTGAAATTGAAATGAGTCGTGAATTCCATCTCATTTGGATTTTATTTTTATTTTTTTAATTCTTTTTCATTTGTGATTTGTTATATCGCAAGCCTGCAGGGAAGCCCAGCCACTTGCATAGCAGCCAACATTTGTCAGATTAAGACTGATATACCCCTCCTATCCTATGTGTGAGAATAGTTCCTCCATATAAAATGGAGAGTAAGTGGTATGAACACCGCTCTCTCTGGCCCCATCTGCACATTTAACACAGGCCTAGGAACTGAAGTTTGTTAAGGGTGCTGAGGGTTATTAGGAGACAGCCCTATTCCCCTCACAGAACTACAATTCCCAGAGTTCTCAGAGAAGAGGGATTGTTAAATGGCTCTGGCAATTGTAGCTCTGTGAGAGGAATAGGGCTCTCTGCTGATAACCCTCAGCACCCTTAACAAACTTCCCAGGATTCTTTAGGGGAAGCCATAATTGTTTAAAGTAGCATGATACTGCTTTAAATGCATAGCGCAGATGGGGATACAGTGGTACCTCTGGTTGCGAACAGGATCCATTCCGGAGCCCAGTTCGCAACATGAGCAGAACGCAACCCGTGTCTGCGCATGCATGGGTCGCGATTCACCACATCTGCGCATGCGCAAGCAGCGAAACCCGGAAGTAACCCTTTCCGGTACTTCCGGGTTGCTGCGGGATGCAACCTGAAATCACACAACCTGAAGCAAACGTAACAAGACGTATGACTGTATATTAATTTATATGTACATATTTATAAATATATTTCCAATGCCTTGTGGATGTCATCCAGCAATGACCTATGCTCGGTTATGGAGAAGTATTCTGTGGTGACGTTCTTCTTTTTCCTTCTGTGTTGCCAAATATCTAGTGGGCAGACAAGAAAGAAGGGTTTGATTGTTGAATGTTATATGCTTACCTATAAACCAATAACATATGTGTGTGTGTGTGTGTGTGTGTGTGTGTGTGTGTATTTCTAATACCAAAACATCACAGATAGCAAGCGATATGTAGCAGCCTGATGAGGAAATGTGCTTATGGGTGGATCTTGAAGAAACCATTTCAAGTTTCATGTATGCTTTCAGCTGTAGCCTATACAGCTGTAGCCTTAAAATACTAAAATTAATATTAGAGTTTTAAATATGTTGCTGCTGCAGCATTTAAATTAATGGTGAATCAGTAAATTATGTTGCTCATGATATGAGAAGTTTGAGAGCAAATGTGCAAGTGGCAACACATCAGTTTAACCAGTGCTTTTTTTCTGGGGGTACGCAGGGGTACGCATACCCCTAAACATTTTGTGAATTTAATGGGAGAAGAAACAAATTTAAAAAAAAATAGTTTCTTCTTCTAAGGGGTGATATGATAGCCATGTTCAAATATATAAAAGGATGTCACATAGAGGAGGGAGAAAGGTTGTTTTCTGCTGCTCCAGAGAAGCGGACACGGAGCAATGGATCCAAACTACAAGAAAGAAGATTCCACCTAAACATTAGGAAGAACTTCCTGACAGTAAGAGCTGTTCGACAGTGGAATTTGCTGCCAAGGAGTGTGGTGGAGTCTCCTTCTTTGGAGGTCTTTAAGCAGAGGCTTGACAACCATATGTCAGGAGTGCTCTGATGGTGTTTCCTGCTTGGCAGGGGGTTGGACTCGATGGCCCTTGTGGTCTCTTCCAACTCTATGATTCTATGATTCTATGATTCTCTAGCACAGTGAATTGTCAGTTCCATTGCTACCCCCAATGGTGGCCTTATTTCCTGTCATGGTGTTTCCTGAGTCTCAGACGGAAACAAGCATTTAATGTGTAAAGTAGGAGTTGGAATCTAGCACTGTGATCGGTCAGTTTCGCTGTTAACACCTCTGATGGTGGCTTCATTTCCTTTCCCTGTGTTTCCTGAGTCTCAGATGGAAGCAAACCTTTAATGTGTGAAGTAGTGTGGAATGTGGGTGTGTGATAATATGAGGTAATATAAGGTAATGCATGTTCTTTGTACTTTTGTCCAATTACTGTATTTATTTTCCCCAATTTGAACTATAAAATGGTGATTTTCTTGAGTCAAAATCAACCCTAAACATTTTTTTTAGAAAAGAAGTACTGAGTTTAACTGTCACAAAGTACGTGTATCAGCTTCCACAAGCCTGAAGACACCACCTGTATTTGGCTGTTAAGCTGTGCTAATGGAACGGCATGAGAGGACTGCCACAATCTGATTTCACCCTGGTTGGTACAACATTTTGTAAACCACTGTATAAGGGCCATACCCCCTGAAAAGTGGATTAAGCCTTTTAAAATAAACAAGCTTTCATAATGGGTTTTTGGGTTTTTTTACCGAACAGAGAGAATTGTATTTAACAAGTTCTAACTAATAACTTTCAGGTAACATATGTTTTATTCAAACAACATAAACAAATTTCTAAACATTCAGTGATAAAATAAAAGTATGTAACCCTCGTTCAGGAAAGATTCTTCCTTATCTGTTCTTAAGTATGTAAATAAGTCTATCATGAACAAATTCAAATTCTAACACATGGAACAGATTTTCTGTGAAGTAGGAAGTACACTTATCACTGCAAGGAAAGTGTCTTCCAAATGATAAGATTGTATTTGTTTCACTGGGCTATCTTGCAGCAAATCTAACAGCACAGAGCAAACAATCCATTGTGGATGAAAACTCATTATCTATATCTAACCCAGCTCCTGAAATAGAAGCAGATCAGTGCTAACTAATATTCAAGTGTCATTTAATCTTCCATTGCTCTGAAGAAAAGCATCAACTTCTAACTTACCTGAATTAATAGCATTACTGGAAAGGAAATTCAGTACAGACAATGCATTTTAAGAAAACGACATCCAATATAAGCATGGTTACTTTTTCAGAACTCCTTTTATACTCTTTAAAACCCTATTTATTTTATGTAAATCTATAATTTCATTTGGCAGAAAAATATGTAAATGGCATCTGCCTCTGGACCACAGAATGAAGGTAGATATGAAAGACAGCTCTAGTTAAAATGAGGTCGCAAGTTTATTCTATTTTGTTTTTTTTTTTTTAAAGCAATTTATTGGATTTTACAATAGGAATAAATGTAATAAACAATATAACATTCGTCTTAACATAATTTCACATTTTCTTTGGACTTCCTCACATCTCCCGCTCCCACCTTCATCATTATAACATTTTGTCAGCAATTTATCATCTTATTTAAATTCTTATATCTCTTCGATATTTCATGATCTTATAGTTCTCATAAAGAGTTAAACTTTCACAGTTTTTCTTATTTTCTTAAAAACTTCTAAGTTAAGTGGTGCTCAGTTATTTAGTCTAGCATCTTATTCAGCATTCAGTCAAATCACAATGTTTTTGTAGGTAGTTCTTAAATTTCTTCCAATCCTCCTCGATTCTCTCTTCTCCCAGGTCACGGATTCTGCCAGTCATTTCAGCCAGTTGCATATAGTCTATCAGTTGCATCTGCCATTCTTCCAGTGTGGGTAGATCTTGAGTTTTCCAATGTTTTGCGAGTAGTATCCTTGCTGCTGTTGTTGCATACATAAAAAATGTTTGGTCCTTCTTTGCCACCCCTTGGCTGACAATACCCAAAAGGAAAGCCTCTGGTTTCTTAGTGAAAGTATATTTAAATACCTTTTTCAATTCATTATAAATCATTTCCCAGAACGCCTTCACTTTAGGGCAGGTCCACCAGAGGTGAAAGAACGTTCCTTCACACTCTTTACATTTCCAGCACTTGTTATCAGACAGGTGGTAAATTTTTGCGAGTTTGACTGGGGTCATATACCATCTATAAATCATTTTCATTACATTTTCTTTCAAAGCATTACATGCAGTAAATTTCAATCCATTACTCCACAGCCTTTCCCAGTCCTCAAACATAATATTATGCCCAATATCCTGTGCCCACCTTATCATAGCCGATTTAACCATTTCATCTTGTGTATTCCATTCCAACAGCAAGTTATACATCCTTGAAAGTATCTTAATCTTTGGTTCTAACAATTCTGTTTCTAATTTCGATTTCTCCACCTGGAACCCTAGTTTCTTATCATTTTTAAAAACTTCTTTAATCTGAGCATAATGTAACCAATCTCGCACTTTGTCTTTCATTTTCTCCAAACTCTGCAATTTCCAATTGTCTCCATCTTTTCTAGTATTTCCCAATATTTTGGCCATTTGGCCTCCATATTGGGTCTTTTTCGGGCCTTAGCTTCCAAAGGTGAAAGCCACCTTGGTGTTTTATTTTCCAGCAAGTCTTTATATTTTGTCCAGACATTAAACAGTGATTTTCTAACAATATGGTTCTTAAAGGCCTTATTTGCTTTAACTTTGTCATACCATAAATATGCATGCCATCCAAAAACATTGTTAAACCCTTCCAAATCTAACACATCAGTGTCTTCAAGAAGTAGCCAATCTTTTAGCCAGCAGAACGCTGCGGCTTCGTAATACAACTTTAAGTCCGGCAGGGCAAAGCCCCTCTTTGTTTTGCATCAGTTAGTATCTTAAACTTAATTCTGGGCTTTTGCCCTGCCAGACAAACTTCGAAATGTCTCTCTGCCACTTCTGAAAGCACTCCATTTTGTCCAAAACCTGAAGTGTTTGAAATAAAAACAACATTCTTGGCAATACATTCATCTTAATCGCAGCAATTCGGCCTAACAAAGAAAGTTTCAATTTTGACCAACTGTCTAAGTCTCTCTTAATTTCTGTCCAACATTTTTCATAGTTATCCTTAAATAGACTTAGATTTTTGCTGTTATGTTTACCCCTAGGTATTTTACTTTTTAACCACATTAAGTTCCGTCTCATTCTGAAACCGTTCTGACTCTGTCTCAGTCAAATTTTTTCCCAAAACCTTGGTTTTCTGTTTATTTAATTTAAATCCCGCCACCCGACCAAAGTCATTAATCAATTGTAATACTCTTTTCGTACTAGGCTCTGGCTTCTGCAAGGTCAAAACCAGGTCATCTGCAAAAGCTTTTAGTTTATATTGTTTCTGACCAACCTGAATTCCTTCCACCAACTGGTCCCCTCTAATCATGTTCAATAGCACTTCCAGAACCGAAATAAATAACAAAGGGGAGATAGGGCAACCTTGTCGTGTCCCTTTTTCAATTTTGAACTCTTCTGTAACCACATTATTAACTATCAGTTTAGCTTTCTGTTCTGAATATATCGCCTCAATCCCATTCTCAAAACCCCGTCCCACTCCCATCTCTTTTAAGTTTCCCATCATAAATTTCCAAGAAATATTATCAAAGGCCTTCTCCGCATCTATAAAAATTAAAACTGCTTTTGTATTTATGTCAGTTTGGAGAAGTTCCAAGATATCAATAATGTTCCTTGTGTTAGCAAACAGATGTCTACCTGGGAGAAAACCGGCCTGGTCCTTATGAATTACTTCATTTAAAACTTTTTAAATCTACTTGCCAAAATATCTGCAAATATTTTGTAATCCACATTTAAAAGGGAGATGGGACGGTAGTTCTTCAGTTGTGTCTTTTCAGCTTCTGACTTTGGTATCAATGTGATAAACGCTTCCTTCCACGAATCCGGTGCCCTCTTCCCCTCCATAATTTCATTGCTAACCTCCATCAAGGGTTGTATCAAATAGTCTTTTAGTGTCTTATAATACTTGGAGGTCAGCCCGTCTGGCCCTGGAGATTTGCCAAGTTGCATGTTCTGAATAGCTTGTTCAATCTCCTGTCGTGTTATTTTAGAGTTCAGGGTTGTCCTATTTTCTTGTGACAGTTTAGATAATCCATTTTTGCCAAAAATTGTTTAATCTCGACTTCGTCTTGCGGCCCTAGGGTATATAGTTTTTAAAATATCTCTGGAAACACTTTCTAATGTCCACTGGATTCTGAATGTTTCTTCCATCGACCTCTAAATTTGTAACCGTATTTAATCTTTGTCTTCTCTTCAACTGCCAAGATAGCAGTTTTCCACATTTATTCGCCGACTCAAACGTTTTTTGTTTCATTAATTTAATCTTCCATTCAATTTCCTGATTTATCAATTTAGAATATTGTGTTTGATACAGTTTAATTTCTCTCAGAGTTGGCTGTGACTTTGGATTCACTCTTAATTTCTTCTCTAATTCTTTTATTTTATCCAAGATCTTGTCTTTTTCTCATTTTGTGTTTTTTTCCTTACTACATTCTGTTGTATCAAGAATCCCCTCATGACAGCTTTGCTTGCGTCCCAGACGATTCTTTTTCCACCGAATTATTCATGTTTATCTCGAAATAGTCTTTCAAAACTTTTTGGGCCTTCTTGGTAATTTCCTGATCTCTAAACAAATTGTCATTCATCTTCCATCTAAAGGATCCAGTTGGTAGTAGTGTCATATCCATCTTTACTGCGTTGTGGTCAGAGCAGGTCTTTGGGCAGATTTCCACTTTTCTAACCCTAGGTGCCAGGCCTCTAGAAATCCATATTTGGTCGATTCTTGTCCAGGTCAGTTGGGCTTCAGAAAAGAATGTTCCTTCTCTACCTAGTGGGTTCTTTGTTCTCCAAATGTCGATCAAGTCCATATTGTCAGTCATTTCAAAAAAGGTTTTAGGTAGTCTGCCATCTTTTGTAACATTTTGACTTTGCGACTTGTCCATGTTAGTTGATACGACCCCGTTCATGTCTCCCATCATTATGATGTTGTTGTAATCCAGATGATCCAGCATTGTCCCCTGCAACTTCTTGTAAAATTCCGATTTCCCTTCATTGGGTGCATAGATTCCTAATATCAGCAGTTTCTCTCCTTGATATTGTATCTCAATAGCCAAAATCCTTCCATGTTCATCTTTAAATAGAAATTTAGGTGACAGGCTCTCTTTGCATATATCACCACTCCTCTCTTCTTCACTTTATCCGACGAAATAAATTCCTGGCCCAATCTTTTATTTATTAACACTTTTCTGTGGAGCCTCGTCACATGTGTTTCTTGTAAACAGATAATGTCCAATTGTTCTTTTTTTCCGGAATGTTACAACCATTAATATTCCAGCTCAACAGTTGCAGAGACATCCTGGATCTGTCTGGTTATTTCTCCCGGGGTGGTGTCTTCTCTGGATCTTCAAGTTCCCCAGGTGCAGGTGTTAATGCTGGCTTTGCCCCAGGCCCGGAAGGTAGTTCAATTCCTTTTTGTAGGTCCTCTCCGTATGTAGCCAGAAATTTATCTCTCTCTTCCAATGTTCGCAAGTTTATTCTATTTTGTTTCTCCTACAAATGGCAACGTTCAGTTCATAAGATGCCCATAGGAAGCCCACAACCAGGGCTTGAGTTCAACAGCATTCTTCCCACTTTCAATTCCCAGCAACTGATGTTTGCCTCTGACAGTGGAGGTAGAACACAGTAATCTAGAATGCACCGACATGCTTCCCGGATTCTAGTGGTCAATAGTAACAAAATCTAGTGATGCCTTGAAGGAGAGATGTGCTGAGAGTTGTAGTCCAAAACATCTGGAGAGAATTAGATTGGCAAAGGCTTCCTTAAAGACTAATTTATTATGGCAAGAGCATTCATGGATTCAGCCCTGCTGCTCCTGGCTGGAAGGTGGGATTGGATCCTAAATTCCTGGGAAGAAAACTTTGCTCATGAGATGCATAGAGAGGCTGAAAGGAGGGGAGTGTGATTTTCACTAGCTTCTTCTTCCTGCTGAAGCTCTCAGGGGAACAACATTTACCCTAAAATAATACAGCTGAAGGGTTTTTTAAAATGCCACGTTATAGCAAGCAGTTCTTAAAACAAAAGCTGCACAAATTCATCTTTCACCTAAGAACTTGGACATGCATTCAAGTAAGCAAGAGTCTGTGCATACCAGAGTACAAAGGTCCCTGGAACAACAGAAGCTGGTGATGAATATAAGTTTCTCAGTTATTTGTTTCTGACTCTGCTGTATAATATCTACATTAACCGAGCATGAATGAAACCCAAGCAGAATTTCAGTTTGGTTTTACAAAATAAGACAGAGACACATTTGATCTGTCTGGAAAGTAGGAAAGCCATTGCAAAAGTTCTTGTTGCACTCTAAAAAGTGATTTGTGCTGATGGCAATACGTATCTTTGTGTTATGTCAAGAATGAACTAGACCAGAGGCTTCCTTTGTTTCTTATTCCATTTTGTGATATCAGAGACAAACATATCAATGTGTCTGGGAAAACACATTTAAGGTCAAATAATTCACACTGCCAGAGGAAGTAACAAGAATACAAATTGAAGCAGCATAAAACTCTGAAATTATATTTTTGTTCCATGTGTTCGTTCCCCTTCCATATACAATACCCAGGTTAGAAATGCAACAGAGCAGAAATCTATAGCTGGGAATAGTGGGAGAAGTTTAGCTAGTATGAAATTTACATCTGCTGCGATTCAAGAAATAAGCTATTCCAAGTGCTGCCAAAATTATTCCTGACATATTTCTGAGCACATAACTCCACATATATATGTTGTAGTATAAATATACATCAATGTGACCCCAGTCAGTCCAGGGTGGTATCCAATGCTGGCCTTACTCAGAGAAGATCCATTGAAATATGCATTACCACCATCCAGGCCCAGGCAGAGTTGACGCAGGGTGAGGGGGATAGCCAGGTACACTTGCCCTGGGCCTCAGAGGGCTTTGCCAGCTGGGGAGCTTCACCAGGGGCCGACTGTCAGTGGGTGCACATCAATCGAAATGTGAAAAATTGTCACTGCATGTACTTACCTGAGAGTAAGTTCCATTGAACTCAGAGTAAATTACTTCTGAATAGACCAACATTGGATTGCTCTCTTGGCTTGCTCACAATCCATTGGATTGCTCTATTGGATTGCTCACAACCCCATAGTCGCCTTTGTCTGAACTTAACTGTCCAAGGGTCCTTTACCTTTACCTAGTTCTTCAGAATAGTCAAATGTTGCATGTATATGGGTTGTTCATGGCATCTCTGGACAGAGGAGGAGACTCAGAATCCAATTTACTCTCAGGCTCTGCCCTGACAGAAGGTGGCATCAGGAGCCACTCTACAGCAAGAGGTATCTGACTAGAGATGTCCGATGTCACAGAGGTGGACCATTCCTGCTTAGACCCGCCTCTGGATCCAGGTCTTCATTCCCAAGACTACTGGTCTCTTTTCTGGGTTCAGACAGCTCCCCCATCTAGGTAGGACCCTCCTCACAGTTTTCCAGCTCTGACTCCCTGAGCTCTTCACATTCATCCTAAGAATCCAACGATGCCTTCTATGACAGCTCCATGGAACTCCTAACATCACTACCCCACCTTGATTCTGTATCCTGACCAAGTGCTAGGAGGCAAAGAATGAGTTGTACATATTTTATATAAACCCAACCAATCAGAGGTTGGAGGAGGCAAACGTGGTGGCCATTCTCAATTTTTTTACAATTTCTTTTCTCACTGAATACGAAAGAGGATATTCATTGGCATTCCTGAAAAAGGCATTTCCTTTACAGTTCTTTGGATAACAACTTCATCTCTAGAAAGCAGAGACCCTACGGCTCTGAACTCAAAATGAAAAGCCCATATAACCGATGCTGTTCACAGATACTGCATTGTTATGAAATTAGATCTACATTTTGTTTGGGATAAACATGAAATAATCTACCATACAATTCTTCTTTTATTCTAGTATTAATAAAAACAAGGGCACAAACACTGAACTGCGACAGCTGATTTTCTGATAAAACCTTTGTGGTGTTTCGTTGGAATGAAAATGTCCTATCTATAGACATTCAGCAAAGATACTGGTATATTTATCAGGGAACACCATCTCAAAACACTGGCTTATTGGCTGATAGTACCAATATTCAGAAGAAGAGACATGAGAGCTGAGGAGTCCTGATGAAGTGGTGTGTATCAGTTCTGACTGGGGCTTCCCCATTCACCTCTTTCTCAGGGAATATTCCATTTGCCCAGTGTCTCGCCAGACACTGAAATGAATGGGCAAGTGTCTACTGACATAGAATGGCATGTGTGAAGTGAAGCCTCATGGAGCTTTGGATAGAAGAGTAGCGGGTTAGTTAGCCATTGCCTGGCAAGGAGACTGGATGGTTATCCCAACCAATCCCAACCAATCAGCTGTCCTTTCTGCATCTGTGAGGCAATTCTGGAAACTGGCTTTCTGATCCACAAACCAAGAGAATGCAGGGCTGTGGTGATATATCCCAGCTTGAATAGCCTGCACATCTTGAATTGGATGAGATGTGTCATAGAATGTGTCGTAGATAAAGAAAGAAAAATACACTTGGGAACAGCAATTGCTGGAAAATATAAGCAAACTAGCTTCCCACCATCTCAGGAGGCAGGGGACATACTGACATGTCTATCTCCTTTGCAATTATGACTCTGCTTGGTGAATGTTCCTTTGCTGTTCATTCAATACTCCATCAATTTGCTGAATGGTTTATTTAGGAACAAATAAATTGCATTAGAGATGGTTCCAAACAACTCCCACTGCACTGAATGTCAGGCCGCATCATTTTCTATCACAACTCAAAATATTCAAAGTGACCTCAGTTTGCTTATAGTGAAAAGGATTGGTTTTCTTTTTAGGTTAGAAAAAAAATATTGCAAAACACAGAAATAATTATGTGTATTTCCCTGAAAATCCGAGACACATCATGTGACCTTCTGTGACTGAATTGCTTGGGGATGAGGTAGGATGGGATGGATGGGAGTACAATGACCTGAATTGTGCTTTTCTTATTGCACTTAGGTTGTGGGACTCTCTCTCTCTCTTTCTCCCTAGAGAGGTTCTTTTGGCTATCTCCAGGTGAGCAACTTACAGCAGTGCAATCCTGCACTGACAACTGAGGAGAGTGATGAAATGCCAGGTGGAGTCAGAGGGAGGGACAGGTGTAGAGTGTCTGTTGAGAATTTCATTTAAAAGAGAGAGATGGGCAGTGCAGGGAGAGAGGAAGACAAGGATTTTAAAAAGAAAATAACTATAAAAAAGAGGAGTTGGGTATGGTACACCAAGAGAGGTTGGTAAAGCTATTTCTTACTCTTTGTCAATTGGCTCTTTGTTCTGATGTTGTTTTCTATAAATTTAAAAAAAGGTTTAATGTTATTAAATGAATGAAGGTGTTCTAGATCAATTCTTGAAATGAACCCATGACCCCATGTGTTGATATACACATTTGATTATAAAGAGAGAAAGTCCTATGCTCTCTGGAACTTGGTAGGTGCTGGTAGCAGATTATTGAGCATTGTTCATGGAAATCTGGGCTCAGTGGAACAGATGGGTGACCAACCTGGTGTCTTCCATGGTCTTCTGGGGTGGTCCTGAAATGCCACACTTATATGTGCCCACTCAGAATCACAGAATGGTAGAGTTTGAAGGGGCCCTACGAGTCATCTAGTCCAACCCCCTGCAATGCAGGAATCTTAGCTAGAACATACATGACAGATGATCATCTAACCTCTGCTTAAAAACCTCCAAGGAAGGAGATTCCACCACCTCTCATAGGAGTCTGTTCCACTGTCAAACAGCTCTTACTGTCAAAAAGTTCTTTCTGATGTTTACTCAGAAACTCCTTTCTTGTAACTTGAATCCATTGGTTCAGGTCCTGCCTACTGGAGCAGGAGAAAGCAAGCTATTATATCTCCTCTCAGTCTCCTCTTTTCCAGGCTTAACATACCTAACTCCCTCAACCATTCCTCATAAGGCTTGGCTTCCAGCCCTTGATCATCTTGGTCTTGACCTCTTCTGCACATGTTCCAGCTTGTCAATATCCTTCTCTGTCTGACAAAGCCACTCCCGGCATAAGGAGGGGGGGTTGCGGGCTCACGTCCACCATCATCCACGCGGGGCTGGCTGCAGCCCCGCACGATCAGGGGAATCCTCGGGCCGCGTCATCCCCTGGGCCAGCCAATTGGCTGGCTGCAGGGGTGGGGCTAGGGTCACTTAAGGACAGCGTGGCCCAAGATCGCCCCTTTCCTGCCTCATTCCAGCTGCAGTTTCCCACCCACCCACCCTCTAGGTTTTCCCTCGGACTTTGCTATGGACCTCAGTTGGTCGCCGCAAGGGGCCTGGTAGGAGTTTTTCCACTTGGCTAATTGGTGTTGTTTTTGAAAGCCATTTGGTTTTTTCGCCTACCTCATAGCAAAATGTCACAACGCTTTTGGTTTTGGCAGTTAGGCATTGGTGGGGGTATTATTATGCAGATGAGTCGGGAGGAGGAGCGCCATCACCTCCCCCAAATATTTAAGGGTAGTCCGATAAAGGATTCCGGGGGGCGTTGCCTCGTCTGAAACCTATGGAGGCTAGGGCCTAAAGCGCGCTCCCAAGCGGTGACCCCTCGGGGAGCACCTAGGGATGTGCATCACAGGGGCTCCCCCTGTTGGTGTTAACCCTTTCCGGTTCTATGCCGGATAGTCTGATAGGACCAATGCCTAAAGCCAATACCGCTCTTACCTGTAACCAATAAAGTTGTGGCCATTTTTCGCCCATTAACCTAAAATTCTGGTGTCCTGTGTCTTTATTTATCCCAACTGGGGGGTGGGGGCGGGAATCGCCACACAAAACCTCTTTCTGAAATCCTGGAAAGCTGCCACTTGCCCTAGTCAGTGGATGGATGTTTAGTTTGCTGCTGTCCTTGCATGTCAACTTTCCCAACCTGATGCCCTCCAGACATTGCTGGAGAAGGTTGCTCATCCACCACCCCTCTGTTGGTGCTTAAGGCAGCAAAGATTTTAGTATGCCAGGGCGTCTTCTCTGAACCTTCCAAATTAACCTCTATTTGCTTTGCCATTTTGCCCCCCCACCCTTCTCCAGAAATGACCTCCTTCTCATCTAAACCTGGCTAAGAACATTGCTCTATTCCAAGACTCACAAATTTCCAGGAGGGAGAAATTCTCCAGCAGTCTCTGAATTTGCTTGCAGGAATTTGGAATTGGGGATGGAGCATAGGTCAGGGGTGGAGCATCTGCTTTGCATGCAGAAGTCCTCAGGTTCAATCTCTGATGGCATGTCCAGGTAAGGTTGGGAGAGAGCCCTGTGTCTGAAATCCTGGAGACATGCTGCCAGTCAGGGCAAACAATAATGAGTTAAGTAGACCAGTGGTCTCACTCAGCCAGTTTAAGACATTAAGAATTATAATGAAAGCAATAGCTGTAGTAGTTGCTGTTTGGAGATTTAAATTGGTGAGCCTCCTTGGAAATAATTTTGATGCAAGAGACAGGACGAACACATTTTAATAGCCAAAACTAGAATAATTATCCACACAAAATTCTGCAAAATCCCACAGTACAGTTCTTCCATAAAACATATAAAATTACTGCAGATTTCAGGCAGAGAAATGTTTGCATCCTTTGCTGATTTTGTTTTCAGAAATTCTGCCATTCTTGCTGCAGAACTGGGGTTACCTTTGCGCAAAACTTTCTTCAGCTCAAAGGCGACCAAGGGCTGAGCCAGGCAGGATGCCAGGCATCCTATTGACCCTCAAAGGTTTAGTCCCAAGCAAGAGCATAGTAAGGTCTGCAGCCTCTCCCAATACTGGAGAGAACATGTGTGGCCCCATCATTCACTGGAACTTGCGTCCTCAGCTGCATCGGAGGATTATTATTAAAAGCTCTCAGTGACAGGAAAAGTGTTGTGTTCTCAAAGCATTGCTGTTATCTAGCATACTCCCAAGCAGATACTACTAAATGAAAGGCAGGAAGATATTATTTTTTTAAGTTTATATAAAATTTAATCTTGACAGGAAGGAAAGTGAAACATTTGGTATTCCTCTGTGATGAGAACTTGTTTGGAATCCAAAAGTAGCTTGTAATTGGTTTTTGAGCGTTGCTTTCTTATTCAGGCCACTCCATTTTCCTCCCATCTCCTTTCCTTTCCCCTCTCAGTGACCTTCTGTCATCTTGCATCCATTTTCAACCATCTCTGGGAATCTTCAAAGGTTTGAGCCTGGCAGTGCTGGAGCTGTTAATACAGAGACTGTGTCCTCAGTTTATCAAGCGAGTAGAGCTTTGTAGCTCAGGGATAAAAATGTTTCGCTTGACTTTACTTCAACACCAACTACAATAAGGGAGTCCTACCAGCATAAATCTGAGCAGCTTGTTCAGTAAAAGCTGCAGCCACTGCCTTGTTCTATTACTCTAAGCCAGCCTCCTCCAACCTGGTGCTTTCCGGGTGTCGCTGTGCTCCCAGCTCCTATAAGGCCAAGCCAACATGGCCTATGGTCAGGGATGATAGAAGTTGTAATCCAACAACATCAGGAGGTTTCAGAGTTGGGAAAGGCTGCTCTGAGGATTGCAGAGTGAATAGGCTTTAAGTCTGTAAGTGTAGATTTATTTTTAAGGGGTCTGTGTGAAAGGGGAAGAGAGTCAGAAGTAAACTTGGGGAAGTATCCAAAGTACTGTGCAAGACAGCACCAAAACAATTTTCTTCCAGGCTTTTGTGAGTGGTTCCTTTTGGCCATGCTTAAGGATTGCAAGCACCAGCTTCTTTTGTATGTCTGTAATGAATGGGACGCGGGTGGTGCTGTGGGTTAAACCACAGAGCCTAGGACTTGCCGATCAGAAGGTCGGCGGTTTGAATCCCCGTGACGGGGTGAGCTCCCGTTGCTCGGTCCCTGCTCCTGCCAACCCAGCAGTTTGAAAGCACGTCAAAGTGCTAGTAGATAAATAGGTACCGCTCCAGCGGGAAGGTAAACGGCGTTTCCGCGCACTGCTCTGGTTCGCCAGAAGCGGCTTAGTCATGCTGGCCACATGACCCGGAAGCTGTACGCCAGCTCCCTCGGCCAATAAAGCGAGATGAGCGCTGCAACCCCAGAGTCAGGGGTCCCTTTACCTTTACCTTTAATGATGGTGGCTAGCTCACACACCGCACATGTCCCCGAAGTGGTTTCTTGCGCCCCCAACAAACTCATTCAAATGTGTTGTGACTTCTGTTATGTACTGAAGTTCTCACCCTGGGCCAGCAGGGGGATACTGTAGATAGTTATGCAAATGAAGAATCGAAAGTGACGTTCAGTGATTGGATAGTTTGTATGCAAATGAAGGATCGAAAGTGACGTTCAGTGACTGGATAGTTTTAGAAAGAGGATTTATATATTTTGAGTCAATTGTGGGCACACCAAGCTGAGCAATAGCAGTTTTACTCAAGGGATATATATTTTTAGTAGATTTAATTATAATCCATCCTCTCCATCAAGCATCTGGATAGCTAATTGTCTTACCGTACAAGAATATTGATACATAAAAGCACCCACTCTGAAATAATAACATCCAAATGTAAAACCATTTGTATTCTAGGTATATTGCCTAGAGATAAAACATTGCCTGCAGTCACATTTAATGCTGAACCATAGCATGGTGCTACTTGCACAAGCAGCCTCAGGCTGTTTCCTCCTAAAGCACTGCTGCAAAAATGAGATTGGGAGGTTTTCGCTTCAATTTCCAACGAACCGTGGTTACTCATTGTCAGGGAACTGACATCGGAGCTAGAGGTGGAGGGGAGGCTCTCTAATGATGCTGGAGAAGGGCCCAGCAGGGAGAGAGGCAGCTCAGCAGATGGGGAAGCAATTCAGTGCAACACCAGGAATAAGGAGGGGCAGATGGGGAATCGGAGAGAGGGCTCCCAGACTCTTCACCGGACACCAGCGGGGAGAGCACTGGTCCTCCGCTACCCATGCCCTCCCTGCGCAGGAGACTTCCGCGCAGAGAAAGTAGGAGGAGACTGGGTGTCAAACAACTTTTATGTTGGAAAAGGTTTAAGAAACGCCCACTGACGGATTCTGCTAGCGACTGAGGCAGCCACGAATTGAAGGGCTGTCCAGACAGAAAGGTTTAACAAGGCAACATAGCCAGGAGAGGCAGCAACTTACGCACAAGCAACCCCATACCATTATACTCATTATGTTCAGACTCGGGAAAACTGGGCTTATGGTCCTTTAGGAGCGATGAGAGGGCTTTTTAACAACTGAGGAGTAAAAAGAGAGAAATATCTGGACTTTGAACTATTGAGTTGTACTCTAGTTTTATATTCTAAACAGGCTATATGAGGAGGCCTTGTAGACCAGAACTGGCCCAGTAGCTGATGTTGTGATAAGGGTATTTTGCTGAAATGTCAGCACAACCAGAATTTATATAGCTTCCTCCTACACTGTGATAAGAACAGCACAACAACCTGTTGGCTGTCCAACTCAGTAATGTTCTGGAAGAATATTGGGCATGGCAGTTCTAGCTTTCTTCCCATAAGAAGAAACTCCCCACACCCAATTTTCAGGCAAAAGCAATAATAGCTGCAGAACAAGATAAAAGAGAAAAAGAAGAGTTTGGATTTGATATACCGATTTATCACTACCCTAAGGAGTCTGAAAGCAGCTAACAATCTCCTTTCCCTTCCTCCCCCACAACAAACACTCTGTGAGGTGAGTGAGGCTGAGAGACTTCAGAGAAGTGTGACTAGCTCACGGTCACCCAGCAGCTGCATGTGGAGGAGCGGGGACACAAACCCAGTTCACCAGTCCACCACTCTTAACCACTACACCACACTGGCTCTCCAGATATTGTTGTCTGGAAATTTCCTCTTATTAGCAGCATGCCTGCAGTTGCATGCTTGGTGTCTCTGGTGGCAGCAGAATCATACCCATGACCTCTACCCTGTTTGAACCCTTGCATGTTCTTTGGAAAGAGAGACTTCTAATCTGCAATATATTTCTAAGATCAACATAGCTTGATTCCTCAAAGGGAATATTATGACATCGCTACCATCTGTACATCTTTTTATTGTATTGTATTAGCTGCTGAGTGAAAATTAATAACTGATAGTAGCATAATTTGGGGCTTAAGGCCCTGTCATTAGGAATGTGCCCATGTGTGTGTAATATGCCTATTGTATGTGTTCCAAAGATTTCTAGGAGCCGGCAGCCAAAAATTCATCTTTCCCCTTTTTCACAAAATGAGCCAAGATCTGGAAGCATATTCAGCTGTGCGGCAAACACTATTATGACATCTGTTTCTTATCTTGTAGCAAACAATACCATTTTATGAGATTGTTGTAGAAGGTCCTTCAAATGAGAAGTGTTTGTATTCTTTGAGTATAAGGCATAACTATAAACCGAAGGAACTTGCTATGCTTATCTCAGTGCATGAGAAGTAAAAAATTATAAATAATGATGCATACACATTGTGCATTTAAACCGACTCCCCACTCACCCCCCCAAAAAAGAATAACGGAAACTGTAGCTTGTTAAGAGTGCTGGGAATTCCGGGTTAGTGCCTCCGGCAATGGCGGAATTCCTCTGATCGGGAGGAATCCGCTCCGTGGAAATCAGGGTCTGGCCGCCACGGCGAAGGCGGAGACCCACTAAAAACCACAGGCGGGAGAAGCTTGTGGACGTAGGATTCGGCTGGCACCTTTTGCGCCTCCCCTACTCACGGGGAAACCCGGTTTCGGAGATCCGGAGTGACGTGGGGTGAGTGGCGCGGTGCTTCGAATCAACTGCTTCTTTCACGGAGTGAAGCCGCATTGCTGTTGCCGGAGAGCGCTGACTTTTTCCTGTGGACAATTTGATCTTAAAACAACTACGCGTGAGTAGAACGGAAAATTGGATTTTTAAACGTCTTAATTTGGCACCGAAACGGGGAGGTTTCAAACAGGAAGTCCGCCTTCCCCTTTTGTAAATAGATTGAAGCAAAGAGGCTGCAAGCTAAAGGCTTGGAAAGTCTCTCATAAAGGATTAAACTTCCATCAGTTAAATCATCAAACCCCCCTTGGAAGCAGGAGAAGAGGGGGGAAACTTAAGATCGCGTAAGCCTGCAGGAGAGAGTGAAGAAAGTCAAATTACCACCGCTCTGAACCTGGAAACGGGCTGCTAGAAAGATTGAAGTTTCGGATATAGAATCATAGAATCATAGAATCATAGAATCATAGAGTTGGAAGAGATCACAAGGGCCATTGAGTCCAACCCCCTGCCAAGCAGGAAACACCATCAGAGCACTCCTGACATATGGTTGTCAAGCCTCTGCTTAAAGACCTCCAAAGAAGGAGACTCCACCACACTCCTTGGCAGCAAATTCCACTGTCAAACAGCTCTTACTGTCAGGAAGTTCTTCCTAATGTTTAGGTGGAATCTTCTTTCTTGTAGTTTGGATCCATTGCTCCGTGTCCGCTTCTCTGGAGCAGCAGAAAACAACCTTTCTCCCTCCTCTATGTGACATCCTTTTATATATTTGAACATGGCTATCATATCACCCCTTAACCTCCTCTTCTCCAGGCTAAACATGCCCAGCTCTCTTAGCCGTTCCTCATAAGGCATCGTTTCCAGGCCTTTGACCATTTTGGTTGCCCTCCTCTGGACACGTTCCAGTTTGTCAGTGTCCTTCTTGAACTGTGGTGCCCAGAACTGGACACAGTACTCCAGGTGAGGTCTGACCAGAGCAGAATACAGTGGCACTATTACTTCCCTTGATCTAGATGCTATACTCCTATTGATGCAGCCCAGAATTGCATTGGCTTTTTAGCTGCCGCGTCACACTGTTGGCTCATGTCAAGTTTGTGGTCAACCAAGACTCCTAGATCCTTTTCACATGTACTGCCCTCAAGCCAGGTGTCCCCATCTTGTATTTGTGCCTCTCATTTTTTTTGCCCAAGTGCAATACTTTACATTTCTCCCTGTTAAAATTCATCTTGTTTGTTTTGGCCCAGTTCTCTAATCTGTCAAGGTCTTTTTGAAGTGTGATCCTGTCCTCTGGGATCATTGTCCTCTATGCTCATTGACTGTGAATAGATCGTCTGCTGACAGTAAGTTAAAGAAGAGAAATACATTGTTTCCATTGTCTCCTTCTGCGTTTAAAAAGGAGTTAAAAGTAACTGAAAATTGAAACTAATTTTATTGTTTGAACTGTGCTTAAAAGGACTGATACAAATAGAAATTGTTTCCCCCTAGAGGAAGCCTTTGAAATTGTTACAAGAGCTGAGCTGGGGAAATTTTCCATCTGCAAGATAAAACTGTGAGAATCTGGGATTGACCTTGAATCATCAAGAATGTTGACAGAAGAAGCCTTAGTGGTTGCATTTTGTAAGATTAATGATTCACTGGAACAGCTTTATAAGAAGACGGATGCGAGGACTATAAAAATTGATAACTTGGAACAAAAAGTGACTAATTTGGCACAAAAAGTCAATATTAATACAGAAATTATTCAGGAATCGATACAGGGATCTATTTTGACATGGCAAATCGAGGAGAAGGCGGGGGAGAAAGTTTTTGTTGTGGAACCTAAAGTGGCACAAGTGGTGAGGGAGAGAGCCCCAGCCTTACAGATGCAATTTGATGATTATAAGTTGATGCCTTCCAAGACTGAATTTAGAGAAAGTCAGACTTTTAGGATTGGATCCCCACTTGTATTGGAGAAAGAAAGTTGGATAGATCCCCTCATGCAGGGGTTTATTGACTTTTGGGACCTGGACTTGGGTCAGGAGGAGACTGGAGTTGTGGGGACTGCCAGACTTGGAGGAACTCTGAAACACGACTGGAAATATCTTTTGAATTTCAGTTCTAACTATGGAGATTTGGCTGACTTGTCCAGAAGGAATAAAAACATTGCTAGATGGGAATTTCCCGGAGATCTACTTTTCAGCATCAAAGGAAGGAAAATAAGAACAAGATCAGGAGAAGGCAAAGTAAAGTGCATGTATAAACATGAAGAAGACTTGCAGAAGGGACCTGGAAAAGAGTTAAGAGCCTCGGACAGAAGATCACCAGGTTGATGGGCTATATGGAATTGACGGAAATGACTGGCAGAACCCGAGACCAGGCAGAAGAGACGGTGGAAGAATATTGGAAAAAGTTTAAAATTTATATATGGAAATAATGTAAAATTAATGAGTGTTAGAAAAATGTTGGAAGGGAATTATACGGCTTTAGTAGAAATATTTTAAGGAATTAAGTATAAATAAGTATTACAGTATTAATGGAAAATAAGGTTAAAATATGTTAAGATAATTACAGGACAGAAAATAGAGAAAGATGGAAAGGATTTGCTGAAACAATTAATAGAAATGGAATACAAAAAGGGAGGTGAGAAGAGGTCGATGAAACAAGGGAATGAAAGAGAGGATATTGAGATGGTATGATGTGTGGTTTTTGAATTGTTTTTGCTTTTGTTTTGTTTAATGTGTTAATGTTAATGTTGCATTCTGTATTGTTTATATATTGTAGTGTATTGTTTTTTCTTTTCTTTTTCTTCTTTTCTTTTTTCTTTTTCTTTCTTCTTTTTGTAAGGTTTAAAAGCAATAAATATTATTTTTTAAAAAAAAAAAAGAGTGCTGGGAATTGTAGCTCTGTTGAGGGTAAACTACAGTTCCCAAGATTCTTTTTCAGGGGAGGGATGAGCTTAAATTTATGGTGTACATACAATCAAAAACAGAGTGGCAGTTTATGGTGGTTAATTCAGTGTTTAGATAGCAATTCTGAATTTAAGTTTAGATATTATTGCTCCAAACAAATAATGATTCCAGCTGCAACACAGTGCTCGTTTTCCTGGGAGTAAGTCTTGTTGAATACCGTAAAACTTACTTCCAAGTAACCATGCACAAGATTGGACTATCAGTATCACAAAACCTATTTTACGAAGGCACCTAAGGATCTGCACATGTGGCAGCTTGCAGGTGCTGTCAGCTCTGATGACACTGATTCCCTGGTGAGAAATAAAGAGATGGATTCAACCTCTCCATTCTCCAAAAAAGAACAAGAAAAAAAGATAGGTGCCGTCAAAGTTAACATGCACGTTCATCTGTTGGGATATATGCAATGGGGATTCAGCCGTAGGAGCCTTGCACCAATGTGAGCACTGGGTCTTAAATGAGTTTTTCCCACCATGCAGCATGTTATATTGGTGAATGCAGACCAAATCCATCAAGAAAACACATGCTCAAGGGACTGACTGCACATGCAGGATGTCCTGACCTACAAAGATAGAGGAGCTACCTGCAAAATTAACTTCATAAAGTATTCTTAACAGTTGAATATAGCACTTTGGGTTCTAATCACATGCAAGTTTTCAGATCAAACCAAACTCCATAATGCCCTGTGTCATTTAAAGTTTTATTTTATTTGCCAGAAAACTTTTAAAACTTGGACTGAGCTATCAACCATGGAATCATGAAGCTAAAATACAGATTAAATTATCTGCAAATTTAGAAAGGGGAACTATTAAGTCATTTATTATAATAAATGTTGCATGGTTGCTCTTAAGAGCTGATCATTTGAGGAAATCAACATTATCTCTTTAAGATGTTAGCAACTGCCCAAATAGGCCTGTTAGATTTATGACCGAGAGAGGTTCTAAAAGAATTTCAGAAAGAATAATGTATCTAGTAAGATTGATTGCATGAATCATTTCTGCTGGAGGCTTTGGGAGACTCAGAATAATTCAGTTTTCCTCAAAGACTGGAGCTTCCACTGTTTCCTTCTTCCATAGAAAAATCAAGTGAAAGGATTTGGATTGTGAAAATTAATGTGCCCTTTTCAGTATTTTAATTTTAATACAGGCAATGTTGTTAAATATGCATTCCCTACAATATATAGGAAAACATTCCCCTGTTTACTGAGGGCATTTTCCAACCCAGCTTGAAAATAAACACCATTGCTGGAAATATAACTCTGCATCTTTTGCTTTTCCAGAGTAATCGTGGATCTCAGAAGTAGACCCCATTAACTTCAGTGGGGCTTAATCCCAGGTAAGTGTCTAACAGGACAGCAGCTTTAATCAATGAAGGAACTGTTTTAAAAAATGGGTGATGTGGCAGTAGTCCCAAGGCACTCAAAGAAGTATAGCCAGCTGGAAGCTAAAGAGAGTGCATTGAACCACTGTGATCGGAGCAGGGCTTTTAAAAAAAAGTCAAAGCCAAGAAAAAATGGAAAAACCTTAGGCACCGCAATAAGGTTAAGTAGGGTAAGCAGCAACCTTGATCCGAAAACAATGGAGAATTTTACTACTGTATTCTGTTATTATTCATTTATGGTATTTATACCCAACCCTTTGGGGGGGGAGGCTTTTAGAAAGGGTTACAAAAATTAGTTCTAAAGTGGTACCTGCTATGAGGCTCAAAATCTAAATGTAGAAAAGGGAATGGGCAGGGAGAATGGAATGCAGACTCAAACAGAAGTTGCCAGTGTTTGTGATTATTCTGGCTGTGCTTGTTTTGACAAAGAGCAGCTCCTCCCTGAAGCACTTTCTTGCCCCTTCCCCTCAGTAAGATCCCTCAACATCCAGGCCAGGAGAATCAGACTGAATCCCAACCAAAGGCCTGGCGGAACAGCTCCATCTTGCAGGTCCTGTGGAAAGATGTCAAATCCTAGTCTTTTGTGAGAGAGCATTCCACCAGGTCGGGGCCACAGCCGAAAACACCCTGGCTCTGTTCAAGGCCAGTCTAATCTCCCTGGGGCCTGGGATCTTCAGGGTGTTATTATTTACAGACATTAAGGTCCTCCGTGAGGTATACCAGGAGAGGCGGTCCCATAGGTACGAGGGTCCTAGGCCATATAGGGCTTTAAAGGTTTAAACGAGCACCTTAAACCTGATCCTGTACTCCACCGGGAGCCAGTGCAGCTGGTATAGCACCGGAAGAATGTGCTCTTGAGGACCCCATGAAATATGAAGCTATAGCCCCATCTTCCCTATGAGCCATTGTGCCATTTCTTCCTTTAATTTGTGTTTTTATTGATAGATAGCTGGCTAGCTCTTATACAATATTATTCTGAAATCAGAAACAGTTAGGCTTCCCTTGTCCTGGGAAAGGTGAAAAAGCTGTAATTGGATTTTGTGGGGGAACAGTGCAGAAGAATTAGAGCCTTTGATGAGCCATGGAGAATAAATCAAGGAGTTTTACAGATCCTCATCAAGAGTCGCTGCAGTCTTTCTTTCCCAACAAGCTTATTAGTTCCATACTGTGACTTCCTTTCTAGTCTCAGTAAATGTCAACTGACTGAGGCACAGAAAGGATTGACATGTTGTTCTCTGTTACTCAATTATGTGGATGGCTGTTGTTAGCTAGAGAGGCATTCAGCCCATGAATGAGAACCTGGCATCCTAACTGCTTAGCCAAACACTCAGTGACCATCCTTTTAAAGCTGGAGAACGCATTAGTTTCCCATGAAGAGGCCATGGAAAATAGCCACCCTGCAGTGACTCATCCCCCTTCCTGTTACAACATGTTTAAGGAAGGTCTAAAGTTACAAAATGGAGCCATCAGACCAGGAAGCCCTCTTTATATGTAACAAGCACACATAGAATAGGGGAGTACGATTACACTCCCTGCCATCCTTTCTGCCACTGTTTATGTGTGTTGGGCATAAATTCTGAAAGAACCTGGTCCTATACAGTCTATGTGATTGCAGTCTCTGTCTGCGCAAGACGGGGCAGGGGGGGACAAGGGCCATGATCCCACACTGAGATAGACCAGCATTTGTTCACAGAAAGCTTCTTTCAGTGGCAGAGCTTCATGCTCCAGCACCAGGAAGCGGAGAGCAGGAGGGGGCGCGGCACATTGCCTGCAGGGGCGTGGCGCCCAGCACGGGCAGGGGGACAGCCGCGATGGCACCCCACCGGGATTGCGCTGCCCCCACACCCCTCTTCCTCCACTAGTGGGTTATTTTAGAAGTTATACTGAATGCCCATGAGGGCAGAGGAAAGACAGTGAAACTAATCCTACCTCACCCATTTTTTGATCTCCATAATAATGTGCACAAAGTGTTTTTGGCTCCACACATCTTGCCTGATGTTTACAGCAGAACGTTTTGCTCCCATCCAGCCAAAAACAGTTGCTAGGACCTCCAAGGACCAACCATCTGTCCCCTCCTGTGCAGACAATCCTTAGTTACAGCTGGGGATATACAGATATTCCTGCGCAACAAGCCCCATCCGCACTATATATTTAAAGCAGTATTATACCACTTTCAACAGTCATGGCTTCCCACAAAGAATCCTGGGAACTGTAATTTATTAAGGGTGCTGAAAGCTGCACATCTTTCACATTGCTACCATTTCCAGGGTGGTTTAACTATCAGTCCCTCTTTCCAGGGAACATAATGTGAAATCAATTTGGTAAAATGAAGAAAATTGCATTATGCTGCAGCAAATGCAGGGGCATGTATAAAACTTGGTAAATGCTGACAACTTTTATTAATGTCTAAAAAAAGCTCCAGAGTTGGACTGATCATCTACTTGTGGTTCTTGTAATTTGTGCGTTTATGTTCATTAAGTGGACATTATGTAGGTATAAAATATAAATGAACACTTTTAGAACATGTTATGGAAGCCAAGTGATTATTCATCTGGGACTGGAAGCACATGTAAATATTAACTGTCATGGACTGGTTGGATGCAGAGGAAGGGAAGAAGGCTCAGAGCCAGGGGGTCAGTTGTGGGACTGTTCTGCCCCAGCTATTCACAGGTACAGTGGTACCTCTAATGGGGCCTCCTGCTGCTGCCGCGCCGCCAGAGCATGATTTCTGTTCTCATCCTGAAGCAAAGTTCTTAACCTGAGGTACTATTTCTGGATTAGCGGCGTCTGTAACCTGAAGCGTATGTAACCTGAAGCATCTGTAACCCGAGGTACCACTGTACAGTGAATGGTAACACTCAAGTACCATAAAAACAAAATGTAGAAAATACCTCAAGAGAAACTGAATGAACAATTTGCTTGGTATTTGCCTCCTTTTTTAAACAATAGGGAGGAAATTAAAATGCCCCATCAAACTTAATAAGCATATCATGGCATATATGCTTTGTTGCTTCTAAAAACACCTCAAGACTTCAGACTTTTCATTTAGTTTTCAGGGGAATGTATTCTGGAATTTACCTGATGTTGGTCCAAGAAGCCCATGAATGTCCTTAATTTTAAGGAACACAAAACCATGTCATGCTAATGAGCACTTATAATACTAAATACCCATCATGGAGAACAATGTGCTTGAGGCTAAATAATACTTTTTTCAGTTCTTCAGCGGGGGGGGGGATGCTTTTGAATTATGGTGCTGGAGGAGACTCTTGAGAGTCCCATGGAGTGCAAGAAGATCAAACCTATCCATTCTGAAGGAAATCAGCCCTGAGTGCTCACTGGAAGGACAGATCGTGAAGCTGAGGCTCCAATACTTTGGCCACCTCATGAGAAGAGAAGACTCCCTGGAAAAGACTCTGATATTGGGAAAGATTGAGGGCACAAGGAGAAGGGGACAACAGAGGATGAGATGGTTGGACAGTGTTCTCGAAGCTACAAACATAAGTTTGACTGAACTGTGGGAGGCAGTGGAAGACAGGAGTTCCTGGCGTGCTCTGGTTCATGGGGTTACGAAGAGTCGGACACGACTAAACAATAACACAAAATAATACTTTATTGCAAACCTCCTTCTGTGACATTATTATTAAAGTCAGGAATATGAGGCTTCTTTACAAACTAGGCTTGTGACACATTGAATATCCCTTCTATAACTTAGACCTCATCTGCAGTATACATTTAAAGCATATCATTACAGCCGTGCCTTCCACCAAAGAATGCTGGGAATTGTTGTTTGACCCTGTTGATTGGTCCATCTACCTGAGCTACATACAAGCTGTAGACTTTGTACATGTGACATGCATTCAGGTCTGCTTATGCTTAGCCTTAGTGCAGTATTGCTTAAGGTCAGGAACAAGGCCAGTGTACATCATCTCACATGTTGAGAATCTGTGGGTTTACACAGGACAAATTGCCTGTGCATTTTGTAGAGGGATAGGAACACAAGGAGAGCCAGTGTGGTGTAGTGGTTAAGAGCGATAGACTCGTAATCTGGGGAACTGGGTTTGTGTCTCCGCTCCTCCACATGCAGCTGCTGGGTGACCTTGGGCTAGTCACACTTCTCTGAAGTCTCTCAGCCCCACTCACCTCACAGAGTGTTTGTTGTGGGGAAGGAAGGGAAAGGAGAATGTTAGCCGCTTTGAGACTCCTTCGGGTAGTGATAAAGCGGGATATCAAATCCAAACACTTCTTCTTCCTCTTCTTCTTTATATCAAACCAGCCCATTGATCCATCTAGTTCACTGTTGTCTACCACAGACAAGCAGCATCTCTCCAGGATTTTTCTCCCCATCTCTATCTGGAGAAGTCAGGGGTTGAACTTGAGAACCTTGACATGAAAAACATGTGCTCTGCCATGGAATTAGGTCTCCTCTCCACAATCTTTGTTCTAATGCTGTCTTGAGCAATATTTCTGCTTCAAATATCCAAGTAATATGTGCTCAGCGCTCTCCCACATTTCTCCCCTAATCATAACAGATTTACTTTCTAGTAGGATGTTCAAATTCAAATTGCTTTTTCACAACTGAAATTATTTCAAATACATTAGGGCTGTGCCGAGATTTCATCTTGAATCTTAATGAACCCCCTTACCTGTGTCTTCAGTAATCCTCCCAATACAGGACTTTTATTCTACTGAGGCTTGTAGGAAGTCAAAATATTAATGGAAAGTTGTTTTGAGATTCAATAAGATCAGCTGGAGCATATTTAAATAGCCCAGAAGCTAGTTATCTCATTTTATTGGAATTACATTTTAAACAATGTTTTTGATCTAAATCAGGGTTTCCCAAACTTGGGTCTCCAGTTGTTTTTGGACTACAACTCTCATCATCCCTGACCATGGGTCCTGCTAGCTAGGGACTCCCCTCCCCCCAGCACCCTCTCTGCCTCCTCCTCCTCCTCCTCCTCCTCCTACTCCTCCAGACCCTCTTCCTTTCCTTCCCTCTCCCTGCTGCTGGGATCCCTCTCCCATTCTCTCCCTTTGCCTGCTTCCCAGACTCCCTCTCCCTCTGAGGGCTTCCTTGGCACCTTCAGGCAGCGCAGTTTGGAGCGAGGGGAAGGGAGATGCAGGGAGGTCTCTCCTTGGAAAAGCAGTGCCATGGGAGCATCCAAGAGCCCTCTCAAAGTCAGGCAGGCTTTGGGAAGGTGGCAGGGTCCATCACCACCACACCCCCCCAAAAATGCTCAACAACTCTGTCTGGATTTTCAGTTTGGGAAATATGGCAACCCTAGGTTTAGTGCTGCAAGTGGTAGTTGAGACTGTTCTACCCACACGGTTCCTGTGGGGATAATAAGAGCAAAACTGTTCCATTAGTGAGTACATGAAGCTGAGGGTGGGATCTAAAACACCACAGAGAATGGCAGCACTGCAGCCATTTTGAACGCTGCTGTGATAAACATTGCATTTTTAGTAATATTTGTTTGGTCCACACTTAGTCATCCATATAGGAGCAAAACTGGATCCTACTAGTGATTTACCCAGTTTTGGGGACTTCTTTTGTTTTATTATTTCACAGTTAATTTGAGCAAATTTCCTTCTTCTTTTTTTTAAAGACTTACAGACATTAGCGATAGCAAACAAGTTAAAAGGAAAGTATGTAATCAAATTACTTTGCTAATCTGTGTGATTCTCATCACTTGGTTTGGCTTGTGCCACAAAATGAATGACAAACAGAAGAGCATCAGCTGTTGCCGTGTTAATTAAAAGAGCATCGTTGTAAAAGCTATTTTAAAATATGTTAAACTATAGCAAGCTTATATTACCAAATGTAGAAAACCTCATGAATCTAATGTAATGTGAAGTGATTAACCACGCTATGTAGGAAGATTTGTTTGGTTGCTGCTGTGAGACTAGGGTCCCAATCCATAAATCCTCATAGGCAACAGAAGGTTGTACATGGGGTCTTGGTCATAAGGTATCTCCACTCCAACCACACAGGCAACACTTGGTACATTGTCCCGTCAATTTATTCAATGTATTTTCAGCTCAGGATGGGCAAATTGACAATTTCAGCTTCCATTGGTTTATCATTTATTCAATCTTAAATTCAGTTCTCCACTTTTCCATTTCAGTTTGTGAATATTTTTTTTTAAGTCCTCATGAAAATTCAACAGCATTTTAGTGTGAACTTCTCCTAATAGACACATTTTGGTAAACAATTTTCCCTAATGCATTTTCTCTATTATATTCACTAATATATGAATTTATATGCACACTTTGTCCTAGTTATATGCATTCATGTACACAGTACTTGGTTGAAGAAATGATTTGCAAAATTCAATGAAGAAGTGAGTTTCAAAGGATGGCTGGGTATTCTTCCAACTTAGGGAGGTTCACCTCAAATTGTGAACTGAATTGCATTTATTCCCCATCCCTATATTCTGCTGAAGCTACTGCTAAATGTAGCTCTAACCCTGGAGAGTTTTCACTCAGGAAACTGCAATAGCCCAGTGCAGGACCATTTACCAGTAGTTTGTTTCTTTTTTCCTTTGTACTTGAAAAAGTGCAGATAGTAACTGCTTCTGTTTTCCTGACAGATGGAGTACAGTAGCATTCTCCTCCTTATTCTCTCATTAAATTCAAGGGAATAAAAGATAGCAATTTCCTCTCAGCCTTGGTACAAGCAGAGACCAACATGTTCATTTCGTGTCATCATTGATATATTTTAGGCTTCTATTAAAATCCATCTTTTTCATTCATGCTTTACTTTTAATTGTCTTCAAGATCCCCCCCCCCCTTTTAGGTTTCAGAGCAGTTTTTACTGGGTTCAGTCCAGACTTTCAATGAGCAGAACTCTATTCATGGGAAAGAGGGACAGCTATTTTTTTTCCTATTCCTCCTTCCCCTTCCTCATATGTTCCCTGACAATTTGTTATGGAAGGTTGGGGGACAAGGGAACGGAGAATGAAAACTGTCTTTCTCATTAGGAGCCTCCACTGAGTCGTATTAATTTCTCTGAACAGAAGAAGCCCTTTTGGAGCAGAAGAGCAAGTCAACAAATATGTGAGATGACCAAATTTGGAAAACGAAAAATAAAATACAAATCATTAGCAACCTTTTATAAACTATTATTGTTGAAGGATGAAGCCAGAGCACGTTAGTAAAATGGGCACAAAAAGAGGAAGAAATATTTCTAGGAGGAATATGATAAGTCTTTGGAATAAAAATGACAAGTTCTTTATAAATATAGCAATCAGAGAGAACTGGTATAAGGCCATTGCCAGGGTGGTGTGTATATATAACAGCAGTTCCAATACACAGAATAAATAAGAATTAAAGCAAAAGATCTGTATCTTTCCTGATATGAATGCTCTAGAGCTGTGGTCCCCAATATGGCACCCAAGGGCCCTATGGCACCCTTGGACACACCCATTTGGACTTGTCAAGGTCTCCTGCTCCTCAAATGTTCTATTTTTTTATTTTTAAGGGGAATTTTTGGCTGCTTCTTGGTTGGAGGAAATTCCTGTTTGAGGGGAGGGTGGTGATGGCCTCCTCTTTTTTTTGTCTGTGTTTTATTTGGTTGGGAAGCGTAGAAGCCAAATTGCAATGGGTCTAATCTCCAGGAGTACCTGCACCTGGCTGACCACCATCGTCTCCATCACCTCGTCCAGAAAGAGAATGATAAAAGCTGGGTAATAGTTTTCTAAAACATCTGGATCCAGGAAGGACTTTTTTCAAAGCCTTGGGCACTCTCTGGGCCAGTCCAGTCAATCCTTTCCTACTATAGGCCAGGATCTGGAAGGCACTCAGTTGACCTCACCACAGCAAGCATCGTGCCCATGTTCTCAGACCGCAACACTGAAACTGATCCCACATCAGTACCCATTATTCATACCCTCCGAGCATTTTCATTCAGCTCCCCAACCTACTTTCAGTAACCCATTAAATTAAAATAACTGTAGCTTACTATTTATTGTAGCATTAGAAAAAATAATAAGCAAATTGCAGTCACAAGCCTTTTATATCCCTTGCCTTCTCCGAAAGGATAATTCAAAGAACCTGGAACAACTCAAAGCATGACCAAAAGCTGTTTTGACAGAAAATTAATTTATCTCAATCGCATTCTGCTAGGCTGAGTATTTTGTTCTTAGTTAAATCATCAGTGACAGAAGACTGAATTTTGTTTATGAGCTGCCAGAACTCATAAAACTCTATATTCCTTTATTCAGCCATTGTCAAAAAGACAACAGAAAGATAAGGGAAATATGATTTATAGCATAGATTCAATTATGAATCCGGCTCCATTTCACTAGCACTTGCTTGATTTCGTGAGTTGATTGCTTTGCTCAAATGGAATTTTTCATAACAATTATGGTTTATTGAGAAGACATCCTAGACTAAGATGTAAAATATAAACTACTCATGTGTATAACCTGCTAGCAGAGGATTATTTCATTTCATTTCATTTTTAAAAAATAAGTTTTTTGTGCATTATATGATTTAGAAAATGCTTGAAACTGTTGTGATCTCAGAAATTGTTTGTATAATGGAACAGGAGAACTAGCTGCATCAGCTTGGGCTGCTCTTGTGAATCATTTAGCTGCTAATGATTCTGTTAGCATAATTATACAATGAAGAGAGGCTGCAAATGCATCATGCAAATAAAAATACAGTAATGTGTAAAGATTACAGTTATTTGGCCTTCTAATTAAATTTCCCTCTTGGCCTTCCTGTCATAATTTCCTGTCATTTGATGGCCCATTAAGAGGCATGGATACAGTAAGCAAAGCTATGCACCCTTGTCAGTCTAATCACTTTCTATGCAACCTGCCTGTTCTGATGGAATTATTCTGAAAAGATGTACTCTGAATCTTATTTAGACATGTTGTGCTGCACATACTGAGCCAAAACCTCCCGCTGACATCCCAGCACTTTTGTCTGAAGCTCTAACAGCAATCACACTGACCCTTTGATCTTTCAAACAATTTTTCAACTCACCCAAAATCAATTCTGTTGGCATAAATGTGAAGGTCGTTTCTACTCTTTCATATTTTATGGGATCTTGCATTATATAACATGTAGTTTTTGTGCCTCAGTGATAAGAATTGGATCTGCATTTGATCTTCGCGCAGGCAGGCTACCTCCTACTGTTTCATTGAAAGGATGTTATCAGAGAAGTATGTATTCTGTGCTTTTTTATAAAAAAAAATAGCCTGTGGTGTTTGAACACTTCCCAATGTTGTTCCACAGTAGGCTAGGGAACCTCTGGCCTGTGTCAAATGTGGACTTTCAAACCTGACTCTCAGGCCTTTCCTCAGACCACACCCTCTGCATCCTCATTGAATGTGGGAATGTGTCTTTGAGCTTGTCTGTGTGAATGATAAAAGAGGGTGATGGAGAAAGAGAGAGTGCATTGAAATGTCTTATTTTTGCCTGATGGGAATGTAGCCTACTGGACAAAGCTAAGAGTCACATCTGTTGTTCTGCCTGTGTTTGCTTATTGTTTTTTCGAGCAGTGATATGTGTTTCCTGGCATGTGACTCACTAGAAAATATGGCTTTCAGGCTGAAAAAACTTCCTCAGCCCTTCTGATGGCTTCACTCCATGAAAAACAAGTAATGTACTATTTTAATAAAAATGGTATCGACTTACTTTTTGCTCTGATTGGGGGGGGGAAATGGCGGTCAAGGTTTGGAATGCAGAGGTTTCATATCTGTTGATGTGGCATGTCTGTATGGGGAGCATCTCCCCCATACTCTCACTCACTCTGTGTTTCTTCTGCTGTCCTCCACCAAGCCTAATATCAAATCTGAGCACTTCCTTGGGCAAAAGTCTCTAAGTATCCTCCTCTCTTTCTAGGAAGAAGAAGCAGGTGAGATCTTCAGACTGATAGCTCCTGATGGCTATTCGGTTTGCCTACACAGTGATGGCTAACCATTTTGAATGCATTCAGTCTTAATAGGTCTTAAAATAGGTCTTAAATGATGAATAATTAATTAATAAAATAGGTCTTAAATTATGAACATAACAGCATGGTATGCATACAAGAACAGAGATGTGGATGAAAGACAAATAGTGTGAGCAAAGCATTGTATATGGTTTACAAATTCAAGAGATTAGCAAAAACTCAGTGTTTTTAAATCTTATCAGCAAGGCTCAGGGGAAAACATTAGCAGTCTGGTATCTTACGCTAAGGCAGCAGCCAGTCTACAAAACCCCTGGGAGCTTGTGGATGCAAACTGTTTGTCAGTCAGGGACTGGGCTACCTACTAATTGGGGAAAATCTGGTGCTTTAAGGGGTAGGGAATTCAGCATGGTCATCACCCTAGAAACAAACAAAAAGATCAATGGCATATTGATTGCTAGGCCTGATCAGTTGTCGTTTTGGCAACCACATTAAGGGAAAAATAAGACCTATTTAGGAGATGCTCTAAATTACATGTCATGAGGAAATGAAATGCTCAGTCACCCTCTGATGTCTTGAATTTGCAACCAGATCTTTAATGTGCATTTCCTCCCAGCATCTGTGTGAGCTTGCTGTGTGAAACTGCCTTTCTCAGTTCCATCATGAAAGGCTAAAATTACTCCTCCAGGAGAAACTCCTTGATCATCAACAAATGCAATTACAAACACATCCCCATTTTTCTTGTGCCAAATGATTACCATGACGTATTTACACTTAAACCTCTTGCTCCGCAGATGCTACAGCACCTGTCTAATTGTACTCCCCACCCACCCACTCCAAAGGGATGTGTTATTGTACTCTTTAGACTGAATAATAAGGAATCGAGTAGAACTGCATTACAGCAGTGGACTCAATCTCCTGTATCACACATTCATCTCACAGTCATCACAGAGGTACAAATCCCAGAGGCCTGTGGAAAACAAACGCCTTTCATTTTTGTGGGAAGCATTCTACTGTATGTGCCTTGCATAGCTGTATACTATGTATGCAGAATGAGAATAGATTTTGGTTTTAAGGACATGAACCACAATCTAATAAATGCTTATGGGGTCAGATCCTCTAATGCACAAATGGAACTCTCCCATCTGGGAGGGACTGCCCTTTCCATTTCAATGGGAAGCAGTAAAACGACAGCACAGAAAGAGGCACCTGTGTCTGTTTGAATCATCAGCATGAGCTCCCAGTGTGTAAGAGCTGCTTGTGCAGGGATTGCAGTCAGGACTCCGAACTGCAGCAGGGAATGTGAATTATCTGCAACGTCACATAGGATTCTAGGCACCATAAACACTCTTCACTGTGAAATTGATGCATGCACAGTGAGGCCTATCATCATGGAGGGCTGATCATACCTTTTCCTGTTCTAAAAAGTTCAGTTCTTGGCAGCCTTGCTGGTACAATGTTGAATACTCCTTAGCGGTTACAACCTTGGCTCCAGGCATGACAAGCCAAAGCTCAGCCCACCTGTCATCTAGCAAATCTCCCAGAGGCAAAATGTCAATGAGATCTATTTTGCCAAGACTCACAGAGCTGGGAAAGTTAAATCTGACAGCTTGCAATCATCTCTGTGCATTGTGTGTATTGGGCTGCTGGGCAGTGGGGAGCGAGAGCATGATCTGAATCCTCTTGCATATATGGACTGCAAGGATCCAATGTACTGCATAAATCTAATCAAGCCCCAAATGAACAAACCCATAGGTATGTCCTTGGTATAAGTGTGTACATGCTCATTAGTTAATGTTGAATTTGTTATTGGAGGCAAGCAAGCAAATCAGGTAATCTAGTTTCAGAGTGTCGTTTCCAAAAAAACTAAAAAACAGTGAAGGTAAGAGGAACTCCCACTTCAATCTCGGTTTCTTTTACCGCTGCACATGACTTGCCAAAAGAAAAGAATTAATGTCCCCTTTGCCCAGAAGATGCATCTGGCTGCATGAGGTTGGTTTACAAGCCCAGGCACAGTTAACAGGCTTCAGTAATTAGTAGGTTGATCTCCTTCCATTTAGACTTGCTAATACCGTACACCAGAGAGCTTGGCGGGATTAATTAAAAATGTTACTGGGCTTTCACACAGCCTGATTTCCATGCAGTCTTGAATAATTTTCTGCCATTCTCACTAACAATGATGCAGCTAGTGGCTATATAGGTGCTATAGAAATGGACATGGCTAGTGCAAGGGGTTTTCTAGAAGGCAACAACCTATGCTTTGGACATGAATCTGAAATCAGGGCAATGGGCAAAGGGGAAGAGAAGAGGGAGATCCATTCTTACTTATCTATGCATTGAGACCAGATGGAAACTGAGGTGATGGGCTGAATCTGTACAGTTCAGATGAAGCCTCATATATAACCGCACACATTGCCTAAGGGCAATGTTGTATCTAGAGCTGATTCCAAGATTAAAATCTGAAGCCCCTTTCAATGGGGATGGATGGGTCTGTCTTTCTCTAGCCACTTCCACATGTGTTCATTCATCATCATTCTGTCATGTGCTGTTCCCACCTTAATCTGCATTTTTTTGTGGGGGGGAGTCTGCATGAACATTTATGTTTTCACAAAATACACGTTTCTATATATATTTTTCAATCTTAAAATATACATTTTAAAATGTACTCGGTGTGTTTTTGAGCTGATAACATTGCAGAATTTGGAAAGGTGCAAAAGCTGAAAAGGTAACTTATGTGATGATCCACATATTAGTCTGGGTGGTTGGTTCACACCAGAATAAGGAAAAAAATGAATTCATCAAGCCTCCTTATATTCCACATCACAACAAAAAGTATGCATGAAGAGTCTCTCCTGCACATACAAAACCCTGAATTTATTTGCCCACCCTATGCTGTGTTTTAACTTGTGAATATTATTGGCATGGAAATAACATTTTCAGGAATACAAAATGTGCCTCAAAAGCCTTTTCTGAGTTGCAACCAGTGTTTTCCCTTCTCTGCTGCTACTTTGACACCATTTTCCAGGGTTTCTTCTCCTTCGCTGTTTATTCTCAACCTGTCAAGAATCATAGAACGAATGTGATATCATGATGCTACCTATTCAAATCTGTCCGGCTACATAAAGTTGTATCCAATGCTACTCAGAGTAAATCCATCTCTGAAGTTAATGGACATGACTAACTTGGGTCCATTAATTTCAATGGGTCTCCTCTGAATGATACCACATAGGCACTTCAGAGTGAGAGCATGAAACTTTGTCCTCACCCTGAATGGGTTAATGCTTTTCTCCCTGTGTATAGTGCCCCAAAATTCACTTTTCACAGAGTGGGAAAGCTTTGATCAGAATTCCATCATTTCATCTGAGCCCTGTGTACGCCCCATGTTGCACTCAACATTTCTTGCATACAGAAACATACTTGTGTACGTGCCACATCACAATGTTCTACATCCCATCATATGTGGAGCAGCATACCAGCCTTGTACTTTCTTCCTTTATGTTGTTATGTTTATCAAAATTCAGTAAAAGATTATTGCTCTCTGTTGTTAAACGAGAAATTCTCCTCCCTCCCTCCTGCTCATTGGTAGCTAACAAACCATTGTAGTATTTTGGTTTCTTGCTGAGTTATTGTCTTGATGTCACAAACGATTTTGGCTTTTCATGTGAAGACAATGGAAAAAAATCCATAAAGCTGTTCTTTGGGCAAATATAATTGAGCATTGTATTGAAAAATAATACTAAGGTTGAGACACAAATGAACAAAAGCCAAAGGAAAATTAAGCCAAGGCATTCTGTATTTACCAGCAACATCTGCAGCTGTACATTGTGACAGAAACATTACCCTTAATCTTTCATCCCTCTTCTTCACAACTGAAAGAATAAGGGGAAGTACAACAGATTCTGTAATCATTTGGTTATTTCTTCTTTTTCCCATTGTGTTCCATTGTTTTCCATTGCTCACACTGTGGAAAAGGTGACTGTGATGGTCCAGTCTGTCTACTGTTGTCTTAGACTTTCATGAGCCCCATTTGGGTGTTCTGTTCCCTTGTGGGACTGACACACAAGCAGAGAGAGTGGGGGTTGCACACACTAAGCTTTGTCACTGGAGCATGGGAAGGCTATTGATTCTTCCCCTGACCCATCCCTGGCCTGCTCAGTTCCTTTTTGCCTCTGACACCACTGAAGCTTTGACATCAGGAGGGCAAGGGTCCCTGAAAAGGTCCCTGCAGTGATAGGGAGGGGCCCCATGAGGTCAGTTCACATTCTCTGAAAGTCAACCTCTGTCTTATGGCTCCTAGGACATCTTCTCAAGGCCAACAGAAGTGCAGCCTAAATGACTTGGGGGAAAAGAGAGAAGTATCTTCCGTTTATCTAATCAGAGGAAATAGATAATAAGAAAATAGAACAAGGTGAGATGACATGTCAAGAGGAAATGTACGGCCACAGACATAGAAATGAAAATAAGGTCTTTCAAGAGAGAGTATAGAATCATAGTACATGGGAGTTCTATGTGCTTCTATCCTGGCAGCACTTATTTGCAAACCCATACAGATAGAATGTTGTTATCAGACCCAACATATTTCATTACTGAGATGAACAGCACCATGGGAGTGATGGCATCTAGGTAAAGGTAAATGTAAAGGACCCCTGGACAGTTAAGTCCAGTCAAAGGCAATTATGGGGTGTGGTGCTCATCTCACTGCAGGCTGAGGGAGCTGGCATTTGTCCAAGACAGTTTTCCGGGTCTTGTGGCCAGCAGGACTAAACCGCTTCTGGCGCAACAGAACACCGTGACGGAAACCAGAGCACACAGAAATGCCACTTACCTTCCCACCTCAGCGGTACCTATTTATCTGCTTGCCTTGTCCAAACACAGTTGATCTTCACAAGTACATCATCACCGTAATATTGTAGGACAGGTTATGATAAGATACACCATGTGATTTGTGGTCTTGCACACAGAGGAACTTCACATTGTATTTTGTGTAAGAGAAAATTCTTCATTTTTACAAAACATTATCTATTAATGCCATTGAACAGAACAGGGCACCTATGGATTCAAAAGCTTTGCATGTTAGTCGAAAATGGATGTATAAAGCTGCTTTGAAAGAAGTATATGCCTCATTCAGACATGATGCTTTTTAATATAGTTGTTGGGGTTGTTGTGTGTTTATGTGTTTTGATTTTTCTTAAGGCAAATCATCTGGAATTGTGCTTATTATATGTCTGTATATGTTGATAATGTTTTTGAATTTTCAATGTAAATCCAAGATCCGTGAATAGTAAGTGATATATAAATGGGGATTGTTGAATATATTGGCTAGCTTAATATGCTATGATTATGATATTGTAGTCCTCACTTTCATAGAATCATAGGATTGTAGAGTTGGAAGGGACCAGAAGGGTCATCTAGTCCAAGCCCCTGCAATGTGGGGACGAACCCACAGTCCTGAGAGTAAGAGAGTAATATTGTCAAGCTGGAGTCTCCACGAGTGAAAGGAGCAGAAGACAAAGTAAAGTACAGGTATAAATATGAAGAAGATCTGCGGAAGGGACATGGAAGAGACTTAAGGGCCTCAGACATAAGGTTACCAGGTTAATGAACTAGATGGATGGGATAGAAAGGACTGACAAAACCCGAGACCAGGAGGAAGAGACGTTGGATGAAGATTGGAAGAAAGTTTCAAAAATTCTACTTAGGAATGTTTTGTAAAATTAATGAGTATTAGAAAAATGTTGGAACGAAATTATTTGGCTTTAGCAGAAATGTTAAAAAGAACTATGTAAGAATATGCTATGGTTATGAGAAATTGGTATAAATAAGATTTAAGTTTTAAGTTTTAGGGTTTTTTATGGTAAGATAAGGTTAAAATAGATTAAGGTAATTTAATGACAGAATAGTATGAAAAATGGAAAGGATTTGCTGTGATAATCAACAACTAGTATACATAAAAGGGAGGTGTGAGGAGGTCAATGAAATAAGGTAATGACAGTTAAGAATTTGGGAATATTGGATCTGTTTTTAAATTTTTGTGGTTTATTTTTGCTTTTTGATTTTGATGTGCTATGTGTTTTGTTTTTGTTTTTTGATTTTGATTTTTATCGATTTGTATTGTTTAATTGCTATTTGTCTTTTTTTCCTGTTTTTCCTTCTTTTTCTCTTTGTTTTTTTTGTAATTTTAAAATTCTCAATAAATATCATTTAAAAAAAAGAGAGAGAGTAAGAGTCTCATGCTCTACTGACTGAGCTATTTCATATCAGGGCACTTAACATGCCCGTTTCTGTCTTTGCACTGCTTGTTTTCATCCTGTTGACTTAATTTCTAAAGGAGAAAGCTCACAGTCCCCTCCCCCACCACTCTGAGTTTCATGTGCTCCATTGGTGGGTATGGCTCACTTCAAATATTCTGTGGTGCTCTGTTGTCCTTGGTTAGATGTTATTGTTTTTGCAAGCATTCTGCTTCTGCCAAGCACTTTGTGCTCTTTCATTTGTTTCCAGTCACGGCTTTCTTCCTCTGCTCTTGAATAATTATTGCTCCTCAGGCATGGGAGTCCAAAGTCTTGGGGAATGAGCTGTAATGCTTTGCTGCAGCTTATGTCTGCACTGCGTTGTTCTGTGCTTGATTTCTGGGCTAGTTGCACTCCTATCTTATAGCCAGTAAGTGAATGGTAAAAACGGGGGCTCTGTAGAACCAAGCAATGGACATGGTATGCTTTTACTTCCGATCCATGCTTTTTGTAAGCACAAGTTGTCATCTCCATCTGAGGATAATGAATAATTTGCCTCTTTCCCTGCACATTTTTAAAACTTGGTTCTAAGTAGCTATCTTAATAGACTGGCATGGCTGCATAATTATAATTGTCTGGTGTTGATGCAACACAGCTTCCAATTAGCTGCCTCGGGACAACATACTGACTCATGCTAATGCTAACAGATCATGCTTAGATCACTTGATCTCAATTTTCCTGAATCTTACAGTGTCCTTTCCTATGGTGGTATTAGGAAAGAATAGGATTCTGCTCCAAATCTAAGCTAATGATAAACCCTAAATTCTGCCCTTTATCTCAGACTCATTCATTTGTTCATTTTTTTAAAATGCATTTTGCACTTACCTTTTCTAAAGATCTTCCAGTGATCCAATTTTCTTTCCTAATTATACTCCCAATAAGACAAATATTTCAAATGATTTCTTTGCTTTTCATTCCACATAAATATATCATGATCTATTCTGTATTAAACTTTGACATAGATTTTTACTGTTTTTCACCATGAAATGAAATAGCCTCTGCTGTGATTTACATTGCTATTCTCAGTTGTTGAGCACTTTTCAATTTTAGAGCTATTGATTTAATCATAAATACATATAATCCTCCACATAGTAGCAAAGTTACTGATCAGACAAAAATCACAGACAAAAGGTCTCAGAAAAATTAGTTCCCCTCTTTTTCCAGATTGTAATCTGTGCTGTATTATTTTAATATATTTGCTAATAAATTCTATGCTGCTCTCAAAATTAACACAGAGGAATAGCAAATGAAGTGGTACCCATTCCTTTAATTACAAAACTTTGGAAGTTGTTGTTAGTCTTAAACACTTGAAATAATTGTGCTTAGCATTTCAATAAAGTGATTCCCAGAGAAGAGGAATGTCTCTATCTGAAGTTTCCAGATCTAGGTTTATGCAAGATATAAGAGGGTAATGACACAGTTGAATATGTCAAGCAGTCTAAAGGTTGACCCATGCAATTGTAGTGTTAAGATGCCAAGCTTCTCTCTCCAAGGGAAATGATGAAACATTTGGTCCCTTCCTGTGTGCTCACAAAAATCAGTGTGGAAGTAAAGGTTTTAGTCAACTTATCCAAAACCATATGTGAAGACATTATCTAGTTGATGGCTGATACAATTTGAGAAGCAATACTGAGCAACATCAAACAGGCAAGTTATTTTAGTTTAGTTTATTAGTCGATTCAACTCCTGATGTTTCCTGTGTTGATCATTGTTAGATATATTTCTCCTAGTGATGGATTACCAGTTGAATAGTTTCTGAGGTGTGTTTTTTTTAACTGAAAGATCACACTGGTGAAAGTATGACTGAGCTGCTTCAGTGACCTTGAAACAGATGTCAGTAAATGTAGAGGAAAACCATATGGCAATAGAGCAAATATGGCTGGAAAGTATGGCAGCAGTCAACAAAAACATTCTGGAAAGGAACAAGTTAGCAAAGTTTATTCCATGGCTGGACATTCGCTAAATCTAGTTGAATGTACCACAGTTGACTCGTGCCTGGATGCAGTGATTCACACACACACACACACACACACACACACAATAAATGAGCTTAATTGATTTTCCTCAGCTTTTATAGATAGTTGGGCAGTGCTAAAAAAATTCTTGTCTCTTGAGTCAAAAGTTCCTAAACACATATCAGACACAAGATGGGAGGCTCAAACCAAAACTAATGCAGCTATTAGCAGAAGTTATGCTTACGTTGTTGAAACCCTCAGCCATACTGCGATGAAATGGAAAAAGGAGATACTAGATGATAGGCTGAAAATCCTCTACAGAAAATGAAAGAATTGTGGGATGTAAAGGTGCAGTCAAGTGCAACATTCCAACAGAGGACTAACGGCCTCCATGTTCTAACCGGTTGCTGTGACAACCAGTTTGTCGGTTGCTGGTAGTTTTGAAAGATAACTGCTCAGTTGCAGTCACCTCAGGACCAACTTCCCTCTGGTATAGTTTATTTGCTTGTTATGTAACCTAAGCCTGCCTTCAGGTACAGTTCTGTAAACCTGAATGAATCTGAGAGTAAAATAGTTTTATAGTAACATGAATCAGATTTGTGTGTGTATTCTTTAAGAGGGATTCAAAAGGATTTTTAACCAAGAAGGCATCTTTATTAGTAGAACTCAGACGAGTCAGCAACAAGCTAATCCCTGCATAAGCTTATAAAGGGGATTGTTTTACTCTGCTAAAGTAAACCTTCCCACAAGAATTTGAGCTTATTTTCATGCTTCACCTTTGAACATATCTGCCAGACCTATTTCGCAAAGTTAGCAAGGCATTCCAAGGTTTGCAAGTTTCATGGAGCATATATGCAAATATTTACAGCTATTGCAATTTGTATCAAACACTCAAGCTAATTTTGATGAAATTGAACAGCAAGCATCCAAAGGAGCTTGAAAGAAACTGTTCTGACTTTGTATATAGTGTAATGTTATAATATAGCTATGATTCCCCTGTGTATGTTCTCCCACCCTCCTTAAGCATCACTTCATAGAGCACTTGGCCAAATTGCTTCCCACCTTCCTTTAAACGCTACTCCAGCACCATTTAATGGAAAACCACTCTGTGAAGTTCCTTCTGCTCTCCTTTAAATGCCACTCCTTCCTCAGCAGCTTGCCTGGACTCACTTATCACCTCCCTTACTTGTTCGCTTGCCTGCTGTTCTGTCACCATGCATGAAGTTGATATTACAGCATGACGACCATTTTTCTTACAGAAATATAGTAAATGGAGAAAAAGTAGGTAACTACTGTATTGTCAAATGGCTAATAAATGAATTGTGACCCTGAGAATCCTATCATTCAGAGTTGATAGGATTTGCTCCCTCCCAGGCTGGTGGCCATCACTGCTGCTTGAAAGAACAGGTACCATCCTTTGACTCTGTGCTGTGTGGTGAAGTCCTTTCTTTTATCTGCCCTGGATCTTCCAACACTCTGCTTCATTGGATGTCCATGAGTCCTAGTGTTATGAAAGGGGGAAACTTTTCTCTAGTCACTTACTCCATGCCATGCATAATTTTATAAACTTCTGTCTTCTCGCCTCTTACTTGCCTTTCCTCTGAACTAAAATGTCCTGAATTCTGCAACCTTTCTTCATAGCGGAAGAAAGCTCCATTCCCTTGGTTGTCCATTTATGAACCTTTTCCAACTATACGATACAGACTGATTCCCCCTCCCGTCCCTTTATTCCATGTGCTGCTCTGAGGATTCTGCTGACACTCCCCTTCAGCCAATTTTGGGGCACTCAGGGAGAGGAGAAAAGGGAAGCCCCATTGCACAAGCAGAAGTCCTTGCTCAGGGCTTCCACTGACGGGGCTCATTAGGTGAACCCCACACACTGACCAATTGGCAGATTCAGCAGCCAGTCTGGTCAGCTTCTGCACATGGAACAGGAGGTGATGTTTCAGGCAGCAAAATGCATTGGGCCAGCCCTAGCACTAGTACTAGTGATGTCTGAAGGTGTGCAGATTTTAATTGTTGTTAGGCCTAGATTTTAATCATTTGAGGCAAGCTCCCAAAATCTGTGGACTCAGCTACATTGGCCAGGAAAAAGTTCTTTATATACGTTGTTTATGCACTATAACACTGTGTGGCATTTGCCCGTTCATTTAGAAACTGTCTGTACAGCAGGGAGAGAAAGGGTTAAAAATGTAGGCCAATAGGGAAGCCGGAGGCGGAGCCTACCTGTTTATAAAAGGGCTTAGCCCGAGGTTTGAGTTAGTTGATGGTGGGTAGTTGGTTGGTTTTAGTGGGTTGGTTGGTTGGTTGGGAATGGCAGTTGGAAAAGCGGTTGGCAGGCAGTTGGAAATAGAGAGACACTTAGTGCAGTGGGTTCTTGTGTGAGGGGAGATAGAAGAGATAGAGACAGGATAAAATAAGACTAAGAAGGTAAAGAGTAACAACGTTTGGAATGCAGTTAAAGTTTGTTTGTGTCTCCAGTAAACTACACTCTTCTTTGTTACCTTGAGAACCTGGCTGAGACTAAGTGATTTTACCGGGGAGGACCTGGTTGGTGGCAGTGGATTAGTGGTGTATGGGTAAATAGTCCATGAGACAACCAGGAGCTCCATATGAACGCCACACACTGTGACACAGGGGTGTACTGGTTTTTGAAATATGGCAACCCTAGTTTACAACGCATTTAAGTGAAACGTTTCTTTGATGTGTCTAGATCCAGCATTCCCTCACCTCCCGCATTGGTGCATTAGAGGCTAAGCAAAAAGAGATCAGCTCTCCCTGCCTCTTTCCATGAACATTGCTGTTGCTGCCATTGTTGGATAAGGGAAAGGAGTTTGCATGGTCTGAGGGGCTCCATTATGATCATTTCTCCTCTGAGAGGAGACCTGGAAACTTATAACTGGACCCAAGCATCCAGCATCTCTAGCTGCAGCAGGTTTATCACATTGTCTTCAGTGGGCCATGCAGCTCAACCCTATACATGTTTACTCATTTACTCAGAAGTAAGTCCCACTTTGTTCAAGACAGTGCATAGGATTTCAGCCTTAAGCGCAACTAAATCTTTCCAGATTGGGGATTATTAAGTAAGTGTGTGTGTGTGTGTGTGTGTGTGTGTGTGTGTGTGTGTTGTAGCAAACTTGCTAATAGAAAACAGTCCGTCCATGCTTAATTTATTATTATTAGTATATAGAGTCAGTTCACAAATAAATCTGAACATTGACAAACTTTACTGAACCACAAGCTACAGTGATGGGGAAAGACAAGACACCATTTTATACCAACACAACAATTAAAAACTTTCCATAGAACTTCAGGGCAATTCACAGATGTCACGCAGCATGGAAAACCCATTTATTTTGCTCACATTGAACTTGGGACAAGATGTTTGCAGTTCAATGCAGTCAAGATGTGCTCATTTCCTGTCCACAAGGAGCTATAAGCTCACAGCTGTGACAATGTTGGTTGCTGTTGTGTTTTTGTCTTCTGCCAAGATCTGAGGGTCACACCTTTTCAGTCTCTTCTACCCTCATCATACTTTGCACCCATTTAGCTCATGCTCCATCCATCCATGGGAAGAACTTTGCTCATGCTGATCAGGCCACAGAAAATGAAAGAAGTAATAAATGCCAATCATTAAAGCTGGCCATTCTTTCCTATTAAAGATGCTGCTTTCACCAAGGAACACTCTGGCCCGAAATGTTTGGCAACATCCCAACTCTGAAATGACATGTGTGTAATTGACCTCAAAAATGCTGCTGTTTACAACTGAAATCCTCTGTGTGTTTTATACACATAAAGGGGCTTTGTGAGGAGAAAATGAACTGGGGTGTTGCTAGGCCCACACTGATGCCATGCTCCTCCACTGGCCCCATCCCTCCATTGATGCCATACCCCTCCAGCAGTCCCACCTCAACACTGCATCCCCCTACTGACTCCAGCCCCTTGTGCTGAGTGGAGGTTAGAGGAAAAGGAGTCGAGATCAGTGGAGTTGCTAGTGAGATAGAGGCTACCAGAAGAGGTGGCATAAATGCAGAGGAATTTGACAAAGATAGTGAAGAGACAAAGGTAGTGGGGCAGATTCAGAGGACTTGGCAAGCCCTAAAAAGTGAGATGGATGGATTTAGGGCTGAGAGGTGAGATAAATTGCCTTAGCACAAAAGCTGCTTTTGGCCGGGACATTGTGCAATTTTGTCCACTGGAGATATTGCAAAACATTGCTATAGATGGGATCCTGTGGTGAGAAGAGCTCTAATTTCAATCGGTGTGCTGAGTCCACCAAGTGTCTTTGAGAAGAAGAGACTTTCTAGTGTTCTGAGGTTGCCTGATAGTTTCAGCACACTAAGAATGGTTACATGCCGCAATCCTTTCTGACCAACAGCATATGGGACTATTCGTCTAAGAGATGGGGAGGAACACCAAGGAGGGATTTGACATTGCTTAAAATGGAACACAGAAGAAGAGGCATTTAAAGTTTTAAGGCCTTAAAAAGAGCCGTAGACTTTTTGAAAAATGACGCACGTATGAAATGACGTGCGTCGCAACAGAGGAGCCTGTCTGTCAGAGTTAGGTACACTTAACAGCGTTGTTCTCAATGAATTATTTATAACCATCCATTTATTCATTCGTTCATTGTTAAATGACCACAGATGTTCACTGCTCTCTGGTGCAAAACATAATGCAGTAAAACAAATAAAATGTGTGATGGTATCAGATGAGTGAATGAAGCAAAGTGAAATAATGAGTGGTGTGGATTTTTTGTAAGCTGAGGTGTTATAAAAAGCTTGCACAACTCATTGTAGCCATCAGGCAATCCAGCCTTCTGGCAAAATGATCAAACTGCTTCACCTGTTGTCCACTGCAGTGCCTGTTGGATACACCTAAAATCTTAGTATGTGCAGTGGGTGAGAAGAATTAGCCTTTATGATGACAGTTGGCAGGTGGTTAACACTGTGCCCCATAGGCAGAATCAAGAGCCAATAATCCTAGTGCATGTTCCTAATTTATCAGTGCTACCTAACCTAACCGTGCATAATATGTAGCTGTTCCGTTTGCATATATAGGCACTGATTCATCTCTAAACCTGCTTTGTTCTACATGTCTTGTGACCTGAATCAGGATGTATTTTCCCATCCTCATTAGATATGTGTATTACGTTCAATGGTGACTGGAGAAGCATAGCTATGTGAAGCTACAAATTGATATACATGCACATTAACAGAGTATACATATCTTATTTTCTGGATTGAAAGGATAATCTTTTGTGAGAAGATATTAAACCCAGCCACAGTTTCCAAAGCATCCCCACCTTCAAGTTATCATTTAAGTAAATCAGTACTTTTTCATTTCTTAAAAAACAACCTATCATGCGTGTTTCTTTTTATAGTGTGCATTTTTCTTATTTTATGTTCAGCAATTCCAACCAACCAAATACCTTTTTAAGTGAGGAATAGTATTCCTAATTCCTACAAAACCAACATGAAGATAAATTTTAAAACAATCATCCCTGTATCAGGGACCGCTCATCAATTTTCTGTTTTAAGGAATTTTGATTGGCAACAAAAATATATAGCTTAAACCCAGCTCATTCCACGCTCATTCATTGCACTGGTTAAATCAAAATGCTATATCTTGTTTTGGGCTGTGTCCATTCAGTAGTGTTGTCATGGTAACAGTGTTCCTGGCATTCTCCATTGAAGTCATTCGAATGGCCGAGGAACTGTGCAGGTAGCTGGCAGATCTCTGTGGACGAGGCATCATGTGACAGCAAAGCTGACTGTTGAAATGCCGCCTGAAGCTCTCGCTGAGGAAGTAGAGGGCAAATGGGTTTACGCAAGAATTGCAGAAGCTGAGCACTCGGGCTACCAGCGTAACAACCATATGGCCAAGTGATGGGTCGATCTTCATGTAGTTAAAGGACCGGTACATGTATAGGACATGGGTAGGCAACCAGCATACTGCAAAAAGCCCAACGAAGACCAGCACAATTTTGGCCAGGCGCTTTCGTGTTTCCATCTAAAAAGATGAAATGAGAAGAAATAATCAGTCACAGTACAATGTTATGCTCCACATGAGCTTTCACAATGCATTCAGATACAGTTAGTAAAGTGAGTAGCATCAGAAGCCAATGAAACCCATTTGCATTAATAAATTCCAAGATGTTTTCAGGTACAGATACATTAAGTTGCATATTCTACTTTGTATCATCCTACTGTACAGTCATACCTTGGTTCTTGAATGGAATCCATTCCGGAAGTCCTTTTGACTTCCAAAAAGTTTGAAAACCAAGGCGTGGCTTCTGATTGGCTGCAGGAGCTTCCGGCACTCAATTGGAAGCCACAGAAGCCATGTCAGATGCTCGGCTTCCAAAAAAATGTTCTGGAACACTTACTTCCAGGTTTGCGGCGTTTGGGAGCCAAAACAGACGAGTACCAAGGCGTTCAAGGACTGTATCTTTAATTTCACCAACTACCTGTTCAAAGGGAGCATGGGGCATCCTTTGATGCAGTTCTTCCACCCATCCCAAAAAGGTCAAAGCACACCTTCTACCAAACTTCTGTTAGAGCAGACATTTTCAACCTTGGGTCCCCAGATATTGTTGAACCACAACTCCCATCACCCCCAAGAATGGTCATGGATGATGCAAGTTGAGAGTCCAACATCTTGGAACCCAAAAATGAAGAAGTCTGCATTAGAGGACACACACGGAGGCATAATTAGACAAGAATCGCTGTGTATGCAGCACTGGACCATCCAACAATTGTTTATAGACTGATGAGAACTCAGTAGAGGGACAAAGGTAAAGAAATAACCCTTTTCTGAGGGTTTCTTGCCATTTACAGGATAGTTCTCCATTGGCCTAAATAGGTCCAAAAAAGTCAAGTCCTGCAAAAAAAAATTTGTGAAATAGTGCAGCACATTCTACTAATAAATATAGTCTTATACAGTATTAACTTTGTTCACAAATAAGAGAATTTTATAAAAATTTCATGCAAATTGTATTTGTCCAAATACATTATTCCACAGCAGTTCCTCTTGGTACAAGACACATTGATTTGGGTGGACTTTACTTCTAATGAAGAGTGCTCAAAGCAGTAGCCTATAATAGCTGTGTGCAAATTATCTACAGTCCACTGGTTTGTGATCTATTTCCAATGCTTCCCTTAGGGTTGTATAAATTGCCTACTCCATCTGTTTTCATTTTCATTTTCATGAAACCAATCACCATTACTAAACCAATATCTACTCCTCTCATTAAACATGTAATTCAGACTTGTAAAAAGCAACAACTATTGTGTCTCTTATTAGCTGGAGTAGGGAAAAGTACAGCAGAGAAATCTGAAAAACTATCAGTAATGTGCTCCAAACCAGAATATAACTGGAATCCAGGGGGGCCCTGACATCTAGGAGCCCCGCTAGACCTTTGCAGAGGCCTCCTGATGTTGACACAGAATATTATTTCATTGCTGTGCAGGGCCTAGGCACTAGGGGGATCATGTTATACCCAGGCAAATCCTGCAATGGAAGCTGCAGGAACCCGTGAAAATCCACTACAGGTTCAGACTAGTCTAAATTACTAAGTCCAGCAAGAATTCTGCCTTGAGCAAATATTTTTATCCTTCTTTCATTGCCATTCAGCAGACAGTCAATGTGGTACAGTATTTCTCAAGCCAAGTTGGTGGTGGAGAGGGAGTTGGCTCTCAGGGGTAATATATGAGCAACAATATAAGTAGAAATGCCTTAGTAACCACTTAGTACTTTGAAATAATAAGTGGCCTGGCTTGCATGACCATAAGAGGTTCTAGCTTACATATGGGCCACTTACCTGTCTTTTAGATTGTGCACTGTTTTCTCCAGGCAGATTATGTGCACTCTTAATTAAAGTCCTTGCAATATGGTAATAGTAAACACTAATGATGGTGAGCGGGATAACGAGGTATACCAAAAGTATCATCACTGAATGGATCCTTGGGTGCAAATCATCCTTCAAGGGATACCGTATGCATTCTGTGAAACTGACGTTATCCGCGTCGTTGATGTTTGCTACTTCAGAGAATACTGCTTCAGGAACTGCTAGCAGAATGGATATTATCCAGATGGCAATAGCTTTGATACAGGTCCACAGGACTGCGTTGGGTGCCTGAATATCCATTGGATTGACAATTGCTTTGTACCTAAAAGCATATGAGGGAAAATTAGAGTCAATTCTTTTTCAAAGAATGCAGCTTTTATTGAAAGGAGATGGCTTTCTGCAGTTAACAAATAGGAGCCTCGTATGTCCATTCAAGAGACCTGACGAGACATTCCCCATCTGCTTCTGTATTGCAGGAAGCGGGCAGAATTGGAAGCAGAGAAAGACACAGGGAAGAATGCAACAAATGAACAAGTGACTGGCTACAGAAAAGATATGTAGTCACCACATTTAGCAATGTATAGAAGGGTCTAATTGACTGGATATAAGGGGGATGCGGGTGGTTCCCCCGCACAGGGCACCAAGTGAAAGGGGCACAAGATTGAGAAGATCCATCATTAAGAAAACTCATTTGGGGGTTCCAAATTTCAGCCTCAGACAGGGTGCCGTGCTACCAAAATTACCAAGGTCTATGCCTTTGTGAAGTAATAATATAGTAGGACAAAGGAAGCTCAGACCATTGGTCCACTAGTTCAGCATTGTCTGCACTAACTGGCAGCAGCTCTCAGGTGGGGATCTCTCCCAGTAGAACCTGGAGAGGCCAAGGACTGAACGAGGGACCTTCTGCCTGCAAAGCAGGAGCTCTACCACTGAGCTACAACCCTCCCCCTGGAAACAGTGAATATGTGCAGAGTGCCACCTCTTCACCACTTAGTATCTTCTGACAGCCTTACCACATTTAGGAGTGGGGGAGAAGACGTTGACATCATGGAACACAACGTTCAAGTTGCCCTGATCTCCTGCTTATCCATTTTATTTTATAAATTAATCCTTTTTAAATTAAATACAAACATTAAAACTAGTTTCCCTTTAGCACAGCTAACGCCAATAGTACAGTTGGCATTTGACTCACTTCAGGATGTTGAAATAATGCCATCGCAACCCTTCATGAAAATTCATTACATGGAGGACTAACCCCAGTTGATCCGTAAATTGGTCCCTAAGGACATGCATTTCAGCTTCACATAACAGAGACAAGCTCCCCCGCCCTCTGCAATTATTTCTACCCCAGTCTGGCAAGTGTAATGAAAACTATTTGTCTTCAGCCCTCAAGCAGCAAGTGCCTTCAAGCTTTCTTTTCTTTTTCTTCCTCACATTTTTTATTTGTTTCTAAACAAAAACAAATACACTTTTAAACACTTTCCCAGCGGTAACAGATATGATTAATGATGTCCAGGAATTTGGAGCTGGAGATTTGTTCCTTTTATTAACCATTGTGTTAGCCGATAAGCATGTTGATTAGATTAGGAAATCCCCTTAGTAAGTCTAAATCCCCATGTAAATCTAGACAGCCCTTTGCAGAGCGTTGTGGGAGAGAGGAAAAAACACAGGCTCCAAAATCTCACATGCTCACAAGAGAGATGCTCTGGTGCCATTCAAGGGCAAATAAGAACTCTGTCAAGAGTTGTATGCATGTACAGCTTACAGACCAAAGCTTATTGTAATGGGTTTAGGGGTTGCTCGTGCGTAAGTTGCCGCCACTCCTGGCTAGGTTACCTGGTTGAACCCTTTCTGACCGGACAGCCTCTAGCTCCGTGGCTGTCTCAGTCGCTGGCAGAATCCGTCAGTGGGCGTTTCTTAAACTTCTTCCAGCACAAAAGTTCTTTGACGCCTAGTCTCCGCCTAGTCTCCCTGCGCGGAAGCCTTCTGCACAGGGAGGGTGTGGGCAGCGGAGGACCCGTACTCTCTCCGCTGGTCTCCGGCGAGGAGTCTTGGAGCCTCCTCTCCGATTCCCCCATCTGCCCCCCTTCTCTACTGGTGTTACGCTGATTTCCTTCCCCAGCGGACGGGCTGCCTCTCTCCCTACTGGGACCCTCTCCGGCATCCCTCTGGAGCCTTCCCTCCGCCTCTTGCTCCGATGGCAGTTCCCTGACACTTATGTTAGCAGTGTTACTATTTAATGTTCATGAACAGAAGACCATAGGGGTTAACTTGTTTGGTGCTGAAACCCTTCCTTGAAGTATATTACGGGCTAGAGAGGAAACTATCAAATGCAAATAATCGTCCTAAATACTGAGGGATGTACAAAATGCTCCTGCTTATCCAGGAGCACCACTTAGGGATAGCAGGGGAGAATTAAATTTCTGGCTAACGTGCTAGTTCTAAGGCAGGGCAACAATATGTATGCCACAGGCACAGATGCCATTTTATTACACAAAGGGACTGGACTGTTTGATCTGTGGTGAATGTCTGAGCACTGCGGAGTCTGTACATGTGGGGGGAAAGTAGCCACAGAAGATATGTCTTCAGTTATTGCTCTTACGTCTTCAGTTATTAGGGCTGTGTTCAGCCCTAATTCAGCCAAGGCCCTAAACCTGAGACAAACCGGGCTTATTCGGAGGGAACTGTGCCATGTTCAAGGCTGGTTGAGGCAGTGTTTCGCTCCCCATAAAATGTGCTTGCTCTTTCAGGGCTTGGAGTGGAATTCCAGGGTCCATGGTTGCCGGCTTTGTTCAGTCTCATTCTTCCTTATTTCTCTCCCTCCCCCACTACAAACCAACAAGCCCATAGCCATCCAGGGCTGTCATGTGGCAGGGCATCAAGCAAGGAGGAGAAGCAGGCATAAGTGAGAAGAATACAGAGAAACCAGAAGAAAGAGAAGCCTACTGGACGGCTGCATCTTTGTGCAGAAATGCGGGGTGGGTGCCTTTCCTGCCAGACCTCTCCTTCCCACCCTCTCTATAGAGTATCTGATCCCTCAGAATGCTGGTGTAACCCCTCCAGACCTTTTCCATATCCTATTTTAATTGTATACTAAAATAGAATTTATAAAAACCCTTTAAAATCCATTAGCCTTGCCCCCTAATTGCTTCAGGGACAGATCTGGGATGGGTGGCTCCCAGTGAAAGACAAAATGGTCTGATCCAGGGGCCACAGAAGGGGGCCACAGGGTGCATCAGGGGTCTGTGCACAGCCCTATTAATTATATCTAAAGGCCAAATTAAACAGGAAGTTATTCAGCTTTAGCCCTGGAATGTATGCTTTCTCCCCCCGCCCAAATAGTTGGGGGGGGGGGTGTAGCAAGCTGGGTCAAGTGTGTGGGAAAGGGGAGGGTGTCTTTAACTTGTAGGGGCTCCTGCACCAGCTAAAAATATAAATGACATAAACATGAGCCTTTCAGTCCTGCAGAGAATCTTGTCACCAAAGAAAGGAATCCCACACACAGATTGAAAACGGAAATGAAGCCCCGACAGAAAAGCCTGTGCTTACTGTAGGAAGCCCAATCAGGCAGTTTGCTTTGCACTGCTGCAAACAGGTCACAGAAAAGGTCTGCTGTGTTCTGGAGATGACCATGTAATCTGCAGGGTGAGTGGCAAAAGACGAAGGGCTCATCAGCCACCTCATACAGCCCCTGGAAGCACCCCCTGCATAGCAGCCACAATGTGTTACTGTTCCTTCTCATGACTGGCATGGCTACTTCAAAGCTGAGAAGCTAAACAAGTTCCTTACAGTGCCCTGAAGCAGACACGGTACATTGCAGACCAGAAAGTGAAAATGTTTCAGCATATCAGTGTTCCCCAGTGTGGATGCATCTCCGAATGCCATTAAAAAGTTTGATATAGTTGGCTGTGTGCACGGGCTCTTCCAATTGCATAGAGACGAATCAAGTGTCTTGAAGCAGACATGCTCAGATAAGCAAGATCAATGCCTATCTCCTAGAGACATAATTACTAGCAAAGAAGGTCAGCTCCGCATATCAGTTGCTTGCAAGCACAAATAGCTGAAAGGTGAGGCCAGTCATGGTGGAAATGCTGGTTTTCTAACCTTGTAATATTATTGATGCCATGGGACCATGCGACATGTTTCCTCTCTGGGCGTTGAAAGGGTCTGTGGCAGGTACAAGAATTTAAAAGGAGGAATGAGATAAAGTCTCCCTGTGATATTGCAGAATGCTGACGGCTAGGGCTGCGATAGTAAACAGGCTTGCCAAAGCAAATTGGTGGGGAGATTTCAGAGCTGTAGCCTGGATACATAGAGTGCCAGAATAAATGAAATGTGCAAAATATCTCTGTTCTTCAGTGGAGATGAACTATTACCTATCCTTATTGAAAGATGCTTGCTGTCTCCTTTTCATTTCCTTTTCTTCTTTCTGCTCACTCAGAAAGTGCAATACTCATTCACAGAGAAAGAGAGAATGCCACATAATATGTTTAGTATGTTGAGTATCTTAACAAGTGGAAACTGCAAAAGAATTGCATTTGAGATTCCAGCCGGCCATGCAAGAGGTTCCATTCAAGTCCCTCCCCCACCCAATGTTTCTGTCCTACCAATAGCAGTCAGTGAACATTCCATGCCCACTGAACATGCTCAGTCCTTAGTGAACTGTTTAGGGGCTTCCTCCAACTTTTCCCAAACATGTTTTTTTGTGTTTGTGTGTGTGTGTGTTTGTACTTCTGCAGACCTCAGGATTCCCCCAAGCCTGCTGATAGACCTCCCTCTTGTTTGTGAGTGTTGCCGTTTTAGTTATATGGGGGAGTTTTGATAGGTAAGTGTGTGGCTCCATTAAACAAATCCCTTACTAATGACATCCGGATTGGAGAATGGATGGTCAGTTTTCAGGATACTTTACTTAGAGTAGTTCTATAAACTCTGGAGGTTAATTTCTAAGTATACCCATTTTTACAAGCAAATACATTTTCTGACAGGACACTTTTGAAGAACAGGGAAATTGCAGGGAAGTAATGCAACCCTACTACCAGCACAAATAAACGATTTATATGTTCATAGATAATATGAAAGGGTTCATGTGAAATGGCTAGAGAAGTGGTTAGGTTCAATCAGTATTCATTTTTTGTGTGGAACTTCGTGCCTTTCCATTTCTCAATGAAATTGGCATTCAGATGGAGGCACATTTTTGATGAGTCATGGCTATGAATTCTAAATAGCACGGAAACAAGAGTGTAAGAATGTTTTCCCAAAAGGCTTGCAACACAGAAAATGTCCAGGACTAATTAATTAATAAGGAAGTGAGAAAGGAACATGTAAAGAATAATTAGGTCTATATATAAGTGAATGTTAACAAAACAAAACAAAATGTATTTTGGATCTCATTTTGTTTGGAACATCATGTGAATGCCACTCAGCAAAAATGCCTGTCCAGCTGACTGACAATTTCAAACTCCTATTGACAAAATGATTCTGGAGAGTTAGACAAAATCCTAGAATCTTGCTACCTGTTAAAACCTTGTTTGGATTGACATTGGTTCTCCATTTTACAAAAAAAAAAAAAAAGGGTCCAAGAAAGGAAAGTATGAGATACCGTATTGAGCCCTGTGAACTAAGGAGAAACTGGGCCTAGTATGGAAATAAAAAAATACCCCTGACTTTATTCCACTCCCCATGTGACAGTTCATAGAATCAAAGAATTGTAGAGTTGGAAGGAATCCCAAGGGTCATCTAGTCCAACCTGCTGCAATGCTGGAAACTCAGCCAAAGCATCCATGGCAGATGGCTAGTTAAATATGAAAAGCAGTTTCTGGGAGCAGGGAGAGTGCTCTTTAATCAGGTTGTGCTTGTGTACTTATATAGGCATAAAGCTGGCCAGTATGAGAAGAAGGTGGACTAGGTGTGCTATTGGCCTGATCAAGCAGGATTCATCTTACGTTCTTAAACCTTGCTGGGTATTGCACAGCAACAAAATACCTCTGGGAGGACCACTTCCTGCATTATGCTGTATACAGAGAAGCTGGACCGCTTGGCATCTTGCAGTATCATCAACCATGAGAGCCTTCTGGGCTGCCAGGCAATACTAGAACTAGGAGGTGCAGTGTGTTGTGGAGGCTTCAGTCCTTTCTGGAGGTAAAAGCCCAGAAAGTAGTAGTGGGGAACTACTGTTCCACTTCAACACCAATGATGTTGAGGGCACCACAGTTCCATATCTTCATATTAATTTTTTGTTCTGACCTTCATTGGATCCTTAGAGTGAAGAACAGGTAAGAAATCTTAGTAAGAAGAACTGTGATAAGGATAATACACAAAACTTTTGAGAGGCCATCCAAAGCAGTGTTTCCCAATCTTCCCCCCCTTCCGACCTTGTTTCCTTCCTATGGCCCCCCATGGGCGTAACCAAGGGGTGGCAGGAGAGCAGATGCCCCCAAAATAAGTAAAAATCAATACAGGTCAATACAAATCTGAGGTTCTGCCCTCCCCCCAACAAAAGTCTGCCACCCTAACAAAAATCCTGGCTATGTCCCTGCCCCCCACTGGTAGAAAGGTAGGTATTTACATGTTTTGTTTGTAAATAGAACATGTTTTGTTTATACTTTTTATAATATATACAAAATTCAATTACACAAAATGATAGGAACATAATGAAATATTGTTGAAGCAGAAAAACATAGAATCATGGAGCTGGAAGGGACCTCAAGGGTCTTCTTTCTAGTGCAACCCCCTGCTATGTAGGAAACTTGGCTAATGCATCCATGACAGATGGCCACCCAACCTCTGCTTAGAAACCTCCAAGAAAGGAGAGTCCAGAACTTCCTGAGTGAAATCCATCTTCCATGTATCATAAAAAGTAAACAACGCTTATTTCACCCCAGTTATTTGACACAGAGGGGGAAATCTACAGATACAGTCTAAAAGGTGCACAGGGAGTTCTGTATATATGGGAGAATTTTAAAAAGCGAGTGGTCCTCACTGCCCTGGTGCAAAAAGATCTTGTCATCTAGAGGAGTCCTGGCTGCCTAGATAAAGTACTATAGCCCGCCTCACCCTTCCCTGGGAGTAAGACTCACTGAACTCAGTGCAACATTCTTCTGAGTAGACACATAGTTATTTACAAGATGCATGTCAGCAGCACCAGACAACCCCGCTTGGCTAGGCGCTGGGGTGGATATCACCCTGCGCCCTGCAGAGCTGGGCTGATGCTGCCAATAGACCCTGCACCCCTCGGCAACATCCAAAGGCCCTGATCCACTAGATGCTGGGTGGGATTGCACCCTGCGCCTTGCAGAGTCAGGCCCACCGGGCCCAGCACTGGTGGCAGCAACAAGCAGCTCCCGCTCACCCAGCCCTACCGATTGCCACCCCACCACCGCACTTACTTGACCTGGGGGTTCTGGATCACAGGCTGGATCACATTGGTCAAAATGGGAGCCTCAACGATTGCCTTCTCCTGCCGGAAAAAAACCAGGACTGCTCCAAGAAAACCCACGTGGCAAAAAAGAGCTCTAGGCCCTGGTGGGCCGCTCCCTTACTCGCTTGAAATTGGCCAAGCAGATAGCCAGCCAATCAGGATTTAAATATATATATATATATATGAATTCCACTCTTCACTTCTCACTTCCCTCTGTGACCCCCCTAGCCTCATGCTGTGGCCCCCATTTATGCATTTTTCACCTGTGCCCCTCTTGAAATATCGGGGGGGGGGCAGGGAGCCATATGGCTTCCGGTTGGCGAACTCTGATCCAGAGGTTTTAGGTATCATCAGCTTGACGTCAATACCAAGAAAGGTCCTTGAGGTCTGTGAGCACTTAGAAAAGGATGCTGTGATTACTATGACTTAGCATGGGTTTCTCAAAAACAAGTCATGTCAGATGAATCTCATTTTTTTTTTTTAAAGAGTGGATCAGGGGAATACTGTGGACATAGAGTATCTTGATTTCAGTTAGGCTTTTGACAAAGTCCCCCATGATATTATTGCAGAGAAGCTGGTAAAATGTGGACTGGATGAGGCAATGGTTAGGTGGATTTGTAGCTGGCTGACTGACCAAACCCAAAGAGTGCTTGTGTATAGTTTCTCATCATCCTGGAAAAAAACTGACAAGTAGGGTGCTGCACATTTCTGTCCTGGACCTGTTGCTGTTAAATGTCTTTATAAATGACTATGATAAAGGAATTGAAGGCTGCATCTCCATCCTCTTGAAAACTGCCAGCTCAGCTTACCCTTAGGATCAGTTTAATGTTGACAGAAAACCAAGGGCGAGAGACAGCTTCCCCAAAAGAAAAGGGCTGGTTCCTTTTTCCATGTTGCCATATACTATGAATATGGTGATACTTCACTTACCCAGACAGCATGTGGCTGTCAAAAATAGAGCATCCAGTGGAACAAGAAGATTTGACTCGTCTTGGTTTCCATTCATAGCTTTTGTAAACATGGGTGTGCAGGGCATTTGGCCTCCTACAAGGCAGGAGTCCTTTTGGTATAGTAACACTTGGTTTCTGTGATAATGGCAATTTATAAATGACCTCTCGCTCTTTTCTGAAGGAGAACCACTAACTCACAATGTAGTGTGCGTGGTATATATTGTGCATGATGTTATTTTATTTTGCCTTTCAAAGTTCAGTTCTATGGTTTGCTGCTTTGGAAAATACTTTTTTCTTTCAAAGGAAGTTTCCCCACACTGTCTTCAAATATATGCTGCAACCTCTTTTGCTACCTAAGCTACAGTTGTTTGGCTTCAATAGGAAAGCAAGTTGGTGCCAGCATTGTTGATGAACCCTACTTGATTTACATGTAGCAAAATGCTTGCTTGGTCATTGCTGATCTTCGACACTCTCCCTTGAGTCTATGTATATTCTTAATTCTGCCAACCTCATAGGGAGTGAGATTCTTCTTTGCATTTAGGCAGTTGCATAAAGTCCTGAACACTAATGATTATTAACAACCTGGTTCGCTTTTTATATAAATGGGAAAGGATGGTTTATATCCCAGTCCTTTGAGTATTGCACAGAACTCATTTCTGGTCATTAATTTCGGCTCACACTGTGTTTAGTTCAGATCAAGAGTAGAAGATTCCATTCCCAGTATATTGAAGAGCCAAATATTTCATAGAATCATAGCATTGGGAGGGAGCCTAGGGGTCAGCTAGCCCAATATTCAGTGATGGATTGACAGAGCAAGATGCACCTGCAGCATCCCTGACAGGTGGCCATCCAGCCTTTGCTTAAATGCCTCCAGTGCAGGTAAGCCCACCACCTCCCAAGGCAGCCTGTTCCCCTGCCAAACAGCTTGTACCATTAGGACATTTCTCCTCGCTGCTGAGCCTATATCTTATTTCCTGTGATTTCTAATGATGGATTTCAGTTCTGCCCTTTTGAATGACAGGGGATAAATCTGTTCCATCTCATGCATGACAGCCTTCAAAATATTTGAAGACAGCTCCCCTTCAGGATAAACACACCAGCTCTTTAAAGTGTTCCTCAAAGGACTTGGTTCTGGACCTCTCACAGTCCTTTGGACACACTCCAATTTGTCAATGTCCTTCTTAAAAGGTGGCACCCATAACTGAACGCAGCACTCCAGATTTGAAAGATGAGTAAGATCCTTCCTAAGTTCTTTGTGTCCTGAAGTCTGTTTACACCTGCGTCCAGTCAGATGCCTCTAGGATGCTCACAAGCAGGACACAAAGGCAACCAACCATTGGCTCCTGTTTCTCCCCTGTAACACCTGAGATTCAAAAGTGCACTTCCTCTAACTAGGGAAGCTCCATTTAGATATTGTGACTGATGGCCATGTTTCTCCATGCAGTTGTCAAGAGTCAGTGTGGTGCAATGGTTAGGGTGTTGGACTGTGACCTGGAAGATCGGGATTCAAATCCCCACTCAGCCATGAAGCTCACTGGGTGACCTCAAGCTAGTCACTATCTCTAAGCCTAACCTACCTTGCAGGGTTGTTGCAAGGAGAAAAGGGGGAAGGAAGAACCATGGACACCACCTTGAGATTCTTGGAGGGAAAGGTAGTATATAAATGAAGAATGAAATAAAATAAGCCCTCTTTAATGCCAGGTGAGTGAGTGAGCCCCATCCTTTGTCTCAGCAATTTCGACGCATTATTTATGTGTGATATGGAAATGTGTGTGTGTTTGTTAAGAGATGCTTCACCTCCAAAGAAAAAATTAAGAATGGGATTGCTACAACATAAGCACAGCCACACAGGAGCAGCGGTTCATTTCCATTGTTAATTAGTGGTCCAGAGAAGGACACTGCAGACCATGGACAGCCAGCAGGGTGCCTTTCTGATGCTGTGGATTTTGATTGCCCATCAGCCTCAGGCAGTGGGACCAGTGATGGATGGGAATTCTGGAGAGCACACCTGCTGCACAGGGCCCTTCCCCTTGCAGTCAAGGCATGATCCAGTGCGCTGAGCCTTTAGGGAGGCAGAACTCTAATCCAGCCCTTCTTGGTGGGTAACCTTACATCTGAGCCAACAGACTTAAGTTTGAAGTCCTGCTCCGATGGCCATCTCAGCAGAGCATCCGTGCCTTTAACAAGGGCCAGAAATTCGCCTAAGAAAGCGTTTTCCTTTACCAGAGACAGGAAAATTATTCACCCATTGGACTGGCTCTTGTGGAAGTATGAAAGACAGGATACGCCGACCAGGACAAACGGAGATTCATAGAATTGTGGAGTTGGAAGGGACCCAAAGGATCTTCTAGTCCAGCCCTCTGCTAGGTGTGGGTTAAATGTGAAAGAATCTCTCTCTTCCTTTCCCCCCCTTCAGTCTTTTGTGTCTGGCAGTGACTTTCTTCCTCTCTGTGTCTCTCTGTACGGTTCTGCCAAAATAAATTCCAGCATTGCAGGGAGTTGGACTCGATGTCTTTCGTGGTCTCTTCCAACTCTCCAGTTCTATGACTCTATGACTGTTCGTCTGTCTGCCTCTCTCTCTCTCTCTCTCCCCGGGTGTCTCTTCTCCCGCCTGCCCCTCGCCTCGTCTTACCTGTCGGCGCTGAGGGCAGTGAGCGTGAAGACGGAGACGCCCACCGAGGTGAGCTGAATGGCCGGCAGCAGCTTGCAGCCCACCTCGCCGAAGAGCCAGTCCTCGAGGAAGAAGCGCGAGGCGTCGACGGGCACGCAAGTGAGCAGCAGCAGCAGGTCGCCGGCAGCCAAGCTGGAGATGAAGATGTTGGGCACGCTGCGCACGGCGCTCCTGCCCACGAAGATCTTCAGCAGGGTGGCGTTGCCCACCAAGCCCACCGCCATGATCAACAGGTACAGCGAGGGCACCACGCATCGGATGATGAAGAGCGCCCGGGCTTGCTGCGACGAGGGCAGCCGCTCTGACGCCTGGACAGGAGCCGGGTCCGCCTCGCCGCTGCCGTTGCCCTCCGCTGTCAGGTTGCCCCAGGCGGACGCGCTGCTGCCCAGCCCCGTCCAGCTGAACGACATAGCCTCGCCCGTCGAAGGATCGGGGCTCTCTCCGGGTGCCCAGACTTCTGCGCCTTCCCGCACCCCCAGACGGACAGGCACAGGACGATGCGCTCAAAGGCAAACCTGTCTCTTCTTCCAAAGGAGAGCCCAGGTTTTGGACAACCCAGACGACCGTCGGGGCAAGCTTTCCTGGGATGCTTCTGCAGAAGGAAGTCCCTCCGGAGTCCCAAAGGCTTTCTGTTCAAGTAAGTGCTGTTTAGGTAGGATCTGAGTCAAGAAATCGGTATCCAGCCTGTTGGGTCTTTTGCGAGGTGAAGCAGGCGAAAAGAGTCGCGCGATTCTGCTGGGCGATGCTGGCGGCTCCTCTTTCTAGGAAAGCCTGGACGGCTCTGCTCCTCTCTCCAGAGCGTGGAGCAGCTGAGGTTGGACAGCTCCTGCCGGGCAGAAGCCGGGGTCTATTTTCCCTGCTTTCCGCGCAACACCAGCCCTTTATACGCGCGAGGGTCCGCCTCCGCAAGGAGGAGCGAACAGTTAGAGAAAAGCTACCAACTTGGTCTCTTGGCGCTGAATGGAGGGGGCGGCTCTCCTCCTTTGCGTAGCACCCAAGTTAAAGACAGAGGCTTTCCCCGCGACAGGGGCGGGGGAAGTGACCACAGGAGGCTGCGGCCCCAAAAGGTTTTCCAAGCTGCTGGACTTGCCTGGTCGAGTTTATGGGCTCGGGCGTAACGGCACGTCTAAGGCTGCAGCCCTTCTAGGCTCACTTTCCTGGGAGTAAGCCCTAGTGAACTCAGCAGACGTGGACAGCATGGCGCTTCCAGGCTCCGATCCTATGCATACTGCCTTGGAATTGACTTCTGAGTCAGCCTGCATAGGACTGGGCTGCAAAGCTCTGTAGGAATGTTCCTTGAAACCCCAAACTGGCAGACACAAGAGTGCCGGGGTGACAGAGAGCGCCAGGCGGAAGGAGGCGCTTTTCAGCCTGAAGGTTCAAATGTCTGGGGGCGGCCAAGGAAATGGAGCTGTCCGTCTCTTGGTGCTGAAAATTACTCCGGAGCCGCTGCCCGTCTTAGCTTTAAACTACAGGGACATCATAGAACCATAGAATTGGAAGGGACCCCGAGGGCCATCTCGGCTGCACTCCTGAATATGCTTTTGGAAGTAAAGCCCCCCCCCAAACAAATTTGGAGAAAACATGGCTAGGATCAAGCTGCGAGCTATCTGCATGACACTATAAACCGAGATCTTGCGGTTTCCCTTAGCGTTCCTGGACATCATTCTTTCCAGTCTTCGCGCTGTGTATGTGAGCAAAGTTCTTGGTCTTGCCAGCTGCAGGACTAATGCTGTGCGACCACAAGCAGCATAAGGGGGAGGTCATCACGTTTCGTAAACATACATCGGCGCAATCCTATACATTCCTGTTCCGAAGTATATCCCATTAAGTTCAATTGGGCCTTGCTCCCAGATGAATGAATGGCTTTAGGATTGCGCCGCATGTGTTAAAACGTCTTCTCTCCGCCTCCCCCCACCCCCGTTCTCTGCAGACAGGAACAGATTTGTCATAATGAAATACACACGGATTTGATTTCCACACATTCAAACGATCAATAACTTTCACCCTGTGTGTTTTTGTGTGTTACGGGTGATGGAGATAAGACATTGTTTCCAACAGAAAGAACTGGGCCGCTGAAGTGGTGTGTCTTACCTGGGTTCTGAGTTAATATCCCTTAGGATTGCTTGGTTAGGTCGTAGCGCTGTCCAAAAGCTCCAGCAAAGGACTTGCCGTTTTGTCCCGCTCTGGCGCCGGAGCTGTCGAAATGGCGAGAGAGCAGAATGACAGGGAGGAATTAAGTACACCCCTGTTTTGATTATTCACTTCTGTTTACTAGGTGTACCCAGGCGGCTGCCAAAAATCGCACTTTTCGTTCATTTTATAATATTCACCCATCCCAGCGATGCCACATTCCCGTGCAGTGTTATTTTTAAGCCAAGAGAAAATTCGCTTCCAAAGGGCATCCCTGGTCAGGAGGACGGAGGTTTCAGTCCAACCTCAACCCACATCCTCCTAAGCACGATTTGGAGGGGTCTCGCGTTGCCGTCGGCATTACTGCTGCATTGCGTGTATGGGCACCCGATACTTTTCCACCTCCAAGGAGCCGCAAGGAACCATTTGAACACCACACAGTCGTGCGAGGCAAAGGAGATTGAGAGACGCCGATTCCCTGAGAGACGCAGGCCTCCCTCTCGCTGCAGTGCAGCACAGGACTTGCCCCACCTCTCATGTAGTTAAGGTTAAAGTAAACGCCGGGCCCCGTGGCCCTCCAGATGTTGTTAGGCTACAGCCTGCCTGGCCAATGGGCAGGGGAGATGCGAGTCAGAGTCCGAACACCTGGAGGGCCGCGAAGTCCCCACCTTTTCCATCACAGTGTGTTGTTGCCAGGGTTTAAATCGCCAGGACTTCGGGACTTCTTCTCCCAGAATTTGGGTTGTGTGGAGTGGAGACTGTGCATGCTCCGAGGCCGTCTTTCTTTCTTTCTTTCTTTCTTTCTTTCTTTCTTTCTTTCTTTCTTTTTTTCCTCCCTCCCTCCCTTCCTCTTCTACTTTTTTACTGTCAAAGGAGCAGGATCCCTGGCAGCGGGACGGGGGGGCGGGAGAGGCAGAGATGAAGCTGCAGCGGAGGTATCTCAATATCTCACTATAGCAACTCAGGAGAGTGAAGTAAGTGAGCCAAGCACCACACCTGAGGTTAGTGAGGCCACTGGGGATATGAGGCCACAAGGAAGCCAATCCAGTCGGGTGGGGGCAATGTCGTGTTGCAATGAAAAGGAAGATGCAGTTGGGGTTAATCGTACACTGAAAGGGGGGTAACGTCACGCACAAAATCGCACCTTACCAACTATGGAAGCGTCTGCATCTTGTTGTATATTCTTATACAATAAGAAAGCCATCCTGGAACTCCATGGCGAAAGATAGACAGATAGACAGATAGATAGATAGATAGGTGATAGCTACAGATAGATAGATGATAGATGATAGATGATAGATGATAGATAGATAGATGATAGAGATAGATAGATAGATAGATAGATAGATAGATAGATTAGATAGATAGATAGATAGATAGATGATAGATAGATAGATAGATAGATGATAGATAGGTAGATAGATAGATGATAGATAGATAGATAGATAGATAGATGATAGATAGATAGATAGATAGATATAGATATAGATAGATGATAGATAGATAGATAGATAGATAGGCAGATACTTCTGTTTTCTCCTTTGCTGCTATTTTTTATTGCTACTTGTTGGCCTTTCCCTGGTTTTGCGCTGACCTTTGGTTTTAAGACAATAAATTACTGAATTGAAGTGGTGCATTAATCGGCTGGCACTCTCTTCGAAGAGACGCTGCTGCCTGGGACGCAGCTCACGAAAATTCTTCCTTTACTGTTGGGGAACCGAGAGGCGGGAGCTTGCCTGAGGCCTCAGGACGCCTCTTGCCAGGGTCCCGCAGTCTCCCATCCTTCCTCCTTCTTTGAGCAAACTCCCCTCGCCCGGGGATGCTGCTCTCATTAGAGAAAAGATACACACCCAACCTCAACTAACGCGCCTTCATTCCATCGCATGATCATTGACTTATCATAATCAGAGTGACTGGAAGAGCTAAAAGACTTCGAATCTGCGCCTATCCATTTCGAACCTATAATCGTTGCTACATTTTAACACCTAACTTAATGGGTCCCCAAGGAGTCCTGGGTCGTACGTAGGAAGCCCTCCTTTGTTATTCCCTCGGCGCTCGCACACCCGCTGCCTTCCTTCCAGACGTTGCTGAACTATAACTCCCCTCCTCAGCCTGCATGGCTCACAGGCTTGCTGGGATTTCTAGTTCGTCTATATCCCGGCTGGCGAAGGCTGTCCTAACAGATCCCTTTGGGCGCTTTGATCCCCCCCTTTCGTGCCCATCTGGAATTGGGGAGCTGCTTTTTAAGAGAAGCTGCACGGTCCTGGCTGTTGATGAAAGTGTCGTGAGAGACGCGCGCTTCCTTCTTGACTCGTCTGGGTCCGGCTGCGCAACTAGGAGCGACCCAGGAGAGCCGAAGCCACGCGCTGGGCGGCGGGATCCTCCGGCCTGGACGGCTGCCAGGCTGGATCTCCCTTTCCCTGCCTGCCTGCCCCTCTCCCTCCCTCTCCGGCTCGCTGCCTCTGGGCGGGGGATAGCCGCCCCTGGAGCTCTCCGCTCGGGCAGGAGCGCATTTCCCCTCCAGGATGATCGCGACGCGCCTCCCCGGACGGTCGCCGCGGAGCAGCAGGCAGGCGCCTGGATGGGGCCCCCCAACAATGCCACGCCGGGGCTGCGGCTGGTGCGTATCTCGCGTCTCCTCTTGTCCTACCTGCTTCCGAGGTTTCGCTTCCAGGGGCGGAAGGGGAAAGGGAAGGAGCCCGGGGAGGGAAGCTGGACCGGGCGGCCTCCGCCCGACAGAGAGCAAAGAGGGCTCAGGAGAGTTTGCGGTGAGGTCCTGTGTGAGCTGAGGCCTCGGTGGAGGGATGGAAGACCAAGATCCGAGCAGGGTCAATGTAGGTAAGGGAGCTAAGGCGGCGTTTATTGTTTGCTTGTTTGTTTGTTTGTTTGTTTGTTTGTTTGTTTATACCCTGCCCATCTGGCTGAGTTTCCCCAGCCACTCCTGGCAGCTCCCAACAGAATAATAATAATAAATAATAATAATAAAGCAACAAAACATCAAACATTAAAAACTTCCCTAAATAGGGCTGCCTTCAGATGTCTTCTAAAAGTCAGATAGTTGTTTATTTCCTTGACATCTGATGGGAGGGCGTTCCACAGGACGAGCAGCGCTACCAAGAAGGCCTTCTGCTTGTTTGGCCTTCCCACCAGCTTTCAGGAAAGCAGCCTACAAGTAATCTTCAGTGGCGTATTCGGTTTGGTAATGAGGGGAGATGATCATAGATCTCAAGAACCATGCTGAGATTTACAGAACATGATGACACCTAGGAGGTGGAGGAGATGTTTGAAACGGAATCATGGCAAGTCACAGAGGGCTGGGGGAATTGCTTTCCCTGTTGCTTGAAATTCGTTTCAAACTACAATCCTGATGGCATCCCACGTTACTAATCTTTCACATGGTAAGTTGCCTGTAATGGGGTGGGTGGGGAGGAAGCTAATACATTTAATATTAATAATAACTATTCAATACTACTACTACTACCACCAATACTAGCTGAGACGTTTTCATCCTCAAACTTAATTTTACCCAGAATGTGTTGCAAGGCAAATGTAGTTTCTGGAGGCTTTTTTCTTCTGTCTTCTGGAGCTCTTCCAAATGAGTCTGTCTGCTCAGCCAGCATTTGCCAGTGCACATGGGGTGCTTTCAGGAACAGTGCGGGTGGCACCAGCCCAAAATAAAGTCTGCTTGAAAATTAAATAATGACTCTCCCGGGCTATCTCTTTCTCAGGGCACTGCACCAGCTCCTGCTGTTTCTGCTATGTTACATTAACGGTGGGCAAAGCAGGCATCTGGACAGGCCCTAGGAGCCAAGCCAGGAGGGTCATGTGTTTCTAGCACAACAAGGGGATTCCGTGGCCAGTTGCACGTTCTCCATCCTATTGTGTCGCCGGCTGCTAGTTTATGGGGTTTGGGCGAAGGTTTTTGCTGACAACGTTCAGTGGGGATTATTGGGCAGGCCACATGTACACAGCCTTTGTTTGGGCCTTTTCTTCTCCCTCCCTGAAAGTGTAAGGTTAATTGGGGCCCCAGAGATAAAAAAAAATTATAATTGTGCAGTGACAAGAGTTTTTCATAGGAAAGGTCAGGAGAGAGTAATAGCATCAGAATGAGCCTGAGGACAGCAAATTGGCAATGAGGCGTAGGGATTATACCACAATTGCACTAGGAGAACATCTTACAAGACATGTCTTTAAATTACATCAAGAACTTCTATGAAGGATGTGTAAGTATGGATGGGATAAGAAGTGCTAGAGAAAGAATAATAATCTCATTACGAGGACAGGTTTTCAGGGTTGGTCGCAAACAATTTATGAACTACAGTGGTTCAAAACAACATCCCCAGCATACAAAATGGCATTTTTCTTCAGAGAAAGCACGTTTTATTACTAGCATTTTCCTCTTGCTCGGCAGCACGTCTTACAAATGCTGCATATAAGCTGACATTACTTTTAAGACTAAATAAGAGTTGATTTTAATGATACCATTGTATTTGTTGCATCAGTAAGTGATCAGAACTGTATGTGAAACACTGTATGGGAACCTGTATGGCTGGTCTGTATGTGTGGAACAGCTAGATGTATGAAGGTTGCCAGTTTCTGAAGTTGCATACTGGAATTAGAAATTGATGGATCTGGAGTACATAGGTGTTGTCCCCGGAGTGATGAGTCACAGGTTACTGGAGGGGGAGGGGAAGCTTTATAAAATAATCCCTTAGATGAAATCTCTGTGAAGGGAGCCTTCTATAGCATGGCGGTACATGTGTTGGCCAGGGTCCAAAAAACGCCTCCCAATAGGCAGCTGATGCAGTCAGAGAGGGACTGTGATTGGAAGAGAAAATCAGTTGACATTTACTGTAAGAGGGGCTCTTCAGACCTCACCTCTTATGTGGAAATGGCCCCTTCAAATCAATGCTGGCCTTAGATTGACTTGAGTCAATGAAACTGACAGTGTGTTTACTCACTGACTCAGTTATCCAGTACAACACAGCTTTCAGATTAATGTTTGGTGAAGGGTGTGCAGAAAGTGTCTGTAATTCTGAACAAAATATATTATATAGATATACATTATTAAGATACATCTTGAATACTACTAATGCTTTTGATTCCTCCCTGCTCCCCGTTCTTTCCTACTTAACCTCCATGTGATTCTTTACAGCTTAGGCCTCCAACAGTGGTCGGTCAATTCCACACACTCTTCTTTGGCTCAGTCCGAATGTTTTTCCTTGGTGTTTTGGGTTTTGCTGTCTACGGCAATGAAGCCTTACACTTCAGCTGTGAGCCAGACAAGAGGGACATTAATCTATTCTGTTACAACCAATTCAGACCTATAACCCCACCGGTAAGTCTTCTTTTCTCTTGTAAAAGGTAGGGTGTAGCCTATGACAGTGGTCAAAATGTCCCTGAAAGATTTAAGGGCACCGAATGAAGTTGTAGGCCGAGATGGTAGCATTTTGAGCAGTGCTACTTCAGACTCCAGGCAGGCAATTGAGAGCTTATGTGGTGACATGCTAGACCAGCATAAAGGCCTATCCAGTCCAACTTCCTGTTCTCAGAATGGCCAATCAGAATGCCCACAAGCAGAACATGAATGCAAGAGCAGTTTCCCATTTGTGATCACCAGCAACTGGTATTCAGAGGCATATTGCCTTCAGCATTGGAGCCACTGATGGCCTTACCACCTACACATTTGTCTTACATCTCTTTTAAATCTGTCCAACTTTGTGGCCATCAGTGCATCTGGGAGTAGCAAATTCCATAGTTTGTCCGTCCTGAAATTCTCAACTTTCATTGCATTTTCTGAATGCTCCTGAGTAGGAAGAATGGGAATGAGCGGGGGTACACACCTGTTATGTCTGCTGAAACTGACCCTTTCCTTGCACTGTTCTCTGCATCTTAGCTCAGATGTTTACATATGCTCTGTTAGAGGCAGATTTAGGGCAGTACAAGTGCGGGAGCACTGGACACACAGCCGAAAAGGACGCCTTCTCAAGGAGGCTGATCAGCACTTCCCTGGCTCCAGGAAGGAGGAGTGTAAGCTCTGACAGGGTCCTAGAGTCCTCCTGACTCCTTCCCAAAGCTGGGCAAGTGCTTGTTGTTAGTATAATACCATCCATGTGCACTGCGCTTTCCAAAATTGGAAGACAAATCCATGCTCCAAAGAGCTTACAATCAAGAAAACAACACAAAAGAAGCTAAGGGACATAGGAGCTGCCTTATACTAAATCAGAAAATTGGTCTACCTAGCTCAGTATTGTTGCCATTGACTGGCAGAGACCTTCCAGTGTTTCAGGCAGCGAATCTTCCCCAGCCCTTCCTGGACATGCCAGGAACTGAAACTTTGAGACAGGCATAGGCAAACTCGGCCCTCCAGATGTTTTGGGACTACAACTCCCATCATCCCTAGTTAACAGGACCAGTGGTCAGGGATGATGGGAGTTGTGTCCCAAAACATCTGGAGGGCCAAGATTGCCTATGCCTGCTTTGAGGCATTCACTCTGCCTCACATGAAGGTCACTGAAATGGAGGCAAAGCCAAGCATGGAAAAGTAAATTAATGGAAGAAACTGGTAAATGAAAGCAGCAAATGAAGTATGTATACGAACAAAATCAATCATGCAAGTGCTAAAATATACTGCATTAAAACTGACTCACAGAGCAACCCACCACTATGCCAGCACATCTGCCATATTCTGTAGCCTCTCAGTTGACTTATCATGAATATAGGGTTGTGCCCTTAGTTTTTAGGAAGCTTAACAGTGACTCTTTAATGAGAAGGTGTGGTGGTGACTTATCAACCACTACCAATTTTCCCAGCAACATGAGGTCCTCAGAGACTATAGGGTGTGTTATTTGGTACATGCTTCATTCCATAGGCAACAGAAGTGGTTCAAAAAGTATTGCCAGCTGTCCTTGCCTGAATTAAATATCTGTCCTGGAACATGACACAGAATCTTCTGCAACACATGGAAGGGAGTTTCCAAAGGTAGAAAGTCAGAAAACTAGCAGTTTCCTTTTGGTTTTATCATTAAATTGATAAACATCAAATAGTAATGAACCAGCTGAAAGGAAAAAGTTAATGAACTGTGAAACTAACCTTTGGAGCAAAGGATAACAGTGATTTTTCATATGAATGCTATTTTTAAAGTAGTATTTTAAGATTATCTATGTCCTCTGATAAAGAAAAGCAGTCACAAGACATTCTGGTTGATGTCTGTTATCAGGTAGCACAATATAGTGATAAATGATTTGACAGCCAAGTTTCTGCTATACTTTAGGTATTCTGGGCTTTACAGCTAGTGACCGTACTGGTACCTGGAGCCATTTTCCACCTTTATGCTGCATGTAAAAGCATCACTCAGGAAGATATCCTCCAAAGACCTGCCTACACCGTTTTTTATATTCTTTCTGTTCTGTTAAGGATCATCCTTGAAGTTGTGGCCTTTTGGCTTCAGAGTCAGCTCTTTGGTTTCCAAGTGAATCCACTCTACAGATGTGATGCAGGAGCCCTTGATAAAAAGTTTAATATTACCAGATGCATGGTACCAGAACACTTTGAAAAGACTATCTTCCTTATTGCTATGTACACATTTACTGTGATTACTATTATGTTGTGTATTGCAGAGATTTTTGAGATCTTGTGTAGAAGGTTGGGCTTCTTGAATAGTCAGTAACTTCAGTGTTATAATGAATTATTTCTATTTGTTTATCATAACATTTTTTGTACAAAGAGCAGAGTTATCCATTTGAAACAAAATTAACTTTCTTTAAATAACAAAGTCAAGTTGCATCTTAAAAATATGTATTTAAATATCAGCAAACTTCTACAGGGAATTCTTCATTATGC